AGTGGTTGGGATTCTGACATGGTATCAGAGCGAAGGTCTCGGGTTCGAATCCCGGTGTGTGCACTTCGGGCATCCCAGTGCGGGGGGGGTGTCAGAGGTCCACTGGTGATCCCCGATTGATCATAGGGAAGGGTTACAGGCGTGTTGGCCTGGGGGGTTATGGGCGCACTGACCCGCTACTTAACAAGCCCTTTTATCCCAATGGTCTAGTGGTTGGGATTCTGTCATGCTATCAGAGCGTTTTACGTCCTGGCCTGTGGGCCCGCCAATATGCTTCCGCTGCTATTTTTCTCGGTCGCGCGCCTAGGGCGCGTGGCGATTTTCTCTTGTCCCGCCCCTGGTTGGCGAGTGACTCCTTCTCTGCCCGTCGCGCGCCCCGTGGCACGCGACGGTGCCCTAAACCTGCCCGTCGTGCGCCCCGTGGCACGCGACGGTGCCCTGCTCGTCGTGCGCCCCGAGGCACACGACCGGGCCCTAAACTTAAACTTGCCCGTCGTGCGCCCCGTGGCACGCGACGGGCCCTCTCCGCACCTGCTCTCCCTGCAGCCGCCCCTGACCTACCTGCGCCGACACAATGTAGCCGCTCTGCGGCTTTCTTCCCGCCCACCCCCTCCTCCTTTGTTTCCCTGCAGCCGTGGGGAGGAGGGTATGGGGGTGGCGGGTGTTGGAGCTTTGGGTCGTTTCCTTCCCTTCCCCTCCTCCTCCTTTCGTTCCCACTGCTGCAGCTGCCGCTGGGGGGGAGGGTGTGAGGGTGTGGGGGAGAAGGGGGAGTGGCACCGGGGTGGCGGGTGTGAGGCAACCAGCAGCCGTCCCTCCACCTCTCCTCTCTTCCCCCCCTTCTCTGCTGCTCCTGCAGCAGTGTGGGGGAGGGGAAGGAGGAGGGTGAGGAGATGGAGTGGGTGACCAGCTAGTGTCAGCCCGCCTGCAGTTCCTGCTGTTGCTTGTTTATTATTTTGCATGTGTACACCTGCAGGTTGTATTCTGCACAAACTCCTCCTGCAGGCAGTTATGGGGGAGTGTCAGAACTTATATTTGTAACTGCCTGTAGCTGTAGTTAGTGTAGTTATTATAAGCTTAGTTTGGTGGTGCACCTTCTTTGTTTCCTATGCTATATGTTCCTTGAAACCTATAGTGCAACCCCATCCTTCCCAACTTTCTCGACATCTCACCCTAGGCACAAACTACTCGACATCCTAGTTGGGCCTAGGCTCCTAAGCCTAGGCCCTAGTTAAACTTGATCTCCTTCCTACGATTCTGTCAAACATCGGCACCAATCTCGACGCATGAGAGGAACTTGCTTCACCTGTCCAGAAGCTGACTTACCGCATCAGCCCTTCGTCTCTCACCACAACCCGAGCGCACCCGCTTACTCACCACTTGAGAAAGTATACAGCGACATCCTGTATAATCGCGAACCTGGACAAGAAGCATACAACTACACCATCACGTTCATCGACGCCGCCACGCGCTATGTCTGGCATCTCAACCTTATAAGCCGCGACATGGCCTTCCAAGCTTTCGTCGCATGGCTTCCAGTAGCAGAACGAGAATCAGGCGTAAAACTAAAGAGCTTCCAGTCAGATGGAGCAGGAGAATACACGTCCCAGCAGTTCAAAGACTACCTGGCGGAACGAGGAATCAAGCGGCTCATCTCTCTACCTTACGCCCATCAACAGCAGGGTGTAGCAGAACGAATGAACAGGACCCTTCAAAACACCATGCGCAAGCTGCTACGTGGCATGCGGCTACCCAACCACCAGTGGCCCGAAGCAATGGACCACGCCGTCATGCTGCACAACTTGCTCTCGTCATCATCGCTCCCGAACAACGCATCACCGCATCTGCTGTGGACAGGAAAACAGGGCAGCACCAAAATGTTACGAAATTTCGGCTGCATGGTACAGTACCGACCTCCATCTGCACGCGCCGGCCGTTTCTCACAACAAGCACAGTGGGGACTACACCTGGGCATCGAAAAGCACTACAACGCGTGGAAGATTTTTGACGTCCACTCAAAGGAAACAGTGGCAGCACGTGACGTCATTTTCTACGAACGACTCACTCTTTCGTCGTACCTGTACAACTTGGAGACCTCACGAGATGTCACAGGTGGATTTCGCGGGGACCGAGCCTTCGCTTCGGCTGAAGACGAAGCTGACCTGGACGAGCAAAACGTGGAAGGAGCCTCGGAGGAAGCCGGACCTCTCTCCTACTGCTCGGTTGATGTTCCGATGGACGACGAAAATCCACGCGACAGCATCAACGCCGAAGTGTACTATCACTTCGCTGACAATGGTTACGTTACACCTGCACAAGTCAACACCGACGAAGCAGAACGCGTAGGACCAAATTTCAACCCAACACCAGAAGCGGGAGATGAAGCAGTTTATCCCGAGGACATAACACTTCCCCGCTACACACAGAGTGGACTTCAAATCCTTGGTCTCGTCACCGCGGTTCACGGCGCAACCATTCCTAAGGAGCCTGCTACAGTTCAGCAGGCTCTGGGGGGGGAGCATAAGGAAAAATGGCGCGAAGCCATGGACAAGGAGCTAAAAGCACTAGAGGAACGCAACACGTGGAAAGTAGTTCCTATTGGCGTGGCACGGAACAAGACAGTACTCACCGGGAAGTGGGTCTTCCGTGTAAAGACAAAGGCTGACGGCACCATCGACAAGCTTAAAGCTCGCTGGGTCGTACGCGGCTTCGACCAAGAACACGGGCGCGACTTCACCGAAACCTTCGCTCCGGTCAGTCGACATACCTCGCTCCGAATCATCCTCGCGATCGCCGCCATGAAGAAGAAGAAGCTGCGACAAATCGACGTTGCAAACGCATTCCTCTACGCACCTGTTGATGCAGAAATTTTCGTCGAGCTACCGCACGGCTCCCACGGAGAACCTAACCAAGTCTGCCAACTACTCAAGTCACTCTACGGCATCAAGCAGGCTCCACGACTATGGCAACAGTACCTACACGCTCGCCTCATTCGCATCGGCTTCAAGCAATTACCTCACGATCAGGGGATGTACCGACTCACGAAAGGCGCAGACTACATCCTGCTAATCGTCTACGTAGACGATCTTCTCTACATCGGCTCAACCGACAGCGTCACCACCTGGTTTGAAGGGGAGCTGCAGCAGGATCTCACACTGGCAGTCTCATCTACCGTCACACAGTACCTCGGGCTCAACATCCGGGAAGAGGAAGACGCTATCTACCTCAGCGCCGCGAAAACGCCGACACCATCGCCAAGCGCTTCGCACTTACACCAACCGCCATCTCTACACCGTACCGCTACACGTCAGGAAACAACAAGGAAGGCTCCGTTCTACTTAAGCCCGCCGGCATACGCGACTAACAGAGAAAGCTGGGCTGCCTTCTCTTCGCAGCTGTTACCTGCCGTCCAGACCTATCGTACTCTGCAAGCCAACTCGCAACCTACCTCAAGAGGCCCGAAGCGGAACATTTGGCGGAACTCGACCGCGCTCTTCACTACCTCGTTAGCACCCCAACGATCGGCCTAAACTACCACAAGAAAGCAACCACACCGACTAAGTTAATCGGCTACGTCGACGCCGACCACGCTGGCGACTCCGACAACAGGCGTTCACGCACCGGCTACATCTACCGTCTCGAGCCTATCGGTCCTATCTCCTGGCAGTCGAGCAAGCAGGAATTAATCGCCCTCTCGTCAGCTGAAGCAGAATATATTGCACTCTGTTCAGCCACCAAGGAAGGACTTTACCTTCGCGAACTGCTGGAAGAAGCGAAGCTAGCTCAGTTACCCAGCTTCACTCTGTTTTGCGACAACCAGTCGGCAATTCGCATTGCCAACAAGAACGGCTTCGCGAACAGGACGAAACACATCGCTCTGCGATACTTCTTCGTGAAGGACGAGATCGAGAAGGGGAGACTCGAGCTGTCATACTGCCCCACGACCGAGATGGCAGCTGACTACTTGACCAAGAAGCTCGGGAAGCAGAAGTTTGAGTACTGCATGCTGCTGACTGGACAGAGCCACGTCGCCAGCAGCGACACTCCAGAAGCGAAGGGGAGTGTTGGAAACAATCAGTCTTAAGCGCCTCTGTCGTGTCGAAACACCAAGGCACAAGCGAAGCAAAGCATATCGAGGCACCAGCGAGTCAACCCTCGGAGGTTGAAGTAACCGCTGGAGGTTACGCGAAAGTCAAAGGTCAGCGACCTTTGACCTGACAAATACAGCGCGACAGCAAGGACACACAACTGACTCGTTACAGAGCAGTTGCCCGAGTCGTCACTGTATCGAACCGCAACAGCAACAGTAAAGTAGTTACGGTACAACCGCGTTTCTTCGTATTCCTTGTACTCTTATATAATCTTGTATCTCTTTGCTTTAATCAATCAACTTTGCCCTCACATACTAGTGCAAGGTGGTTCAAGTACTTCTCATTTAAGCTTCCGCTGATTACAACAAATCCTGCCCAGAGTTCACTCCTGCAAAGATCCTAAGGCCTTTTTTCTCAGCCCAACAAAAACAACACACACTCGCCTCACGTGCACCCGCACGTTCACCCGTGTGATTCGAGTTGAGTTCACATTTGACACTCGCACTTATGTGCCCCCAAAATTCTCATGCTTTCGCCAAAGCTTCTTGACGACATTGGCGAAGCTAGTAACCACTCAAAGTTCGACATTTTTGCCGAATTTGAAAATAGATCACACACACCCTCAGAGCTTTGGTTGTTACAAAGGCTTTAATGTAGTATCAAAATTTCTATGCTGATATATGGGGACCTGGTTGTAACGATCTTTTACAACCTTGAGAAACAAGTGTTTGCAAATTTATTGCTAGCACAAGAATAGGAAGTTTGTGCTTACTAAATACATTCCTTCCCTAGTCACACAAAAAGATGCTTTCAGGGATGGTAAGAAACATTTTGCATGGACCCACCATCTGTGCAACACAGGGGTTGCAACGTTCTTAAGCCAATGTGGTGTAGTACAACAAGAGCAACACATCAGGCCTTCTCTGCAATTCTGCTGAGATGCTCAAGCACAAGCGATGTGCCCTCGGCAAAGGACACATCCTCATAGACGAGGCCGTGCTTCTCGCAGAGCTCCTTCACTGCCTTGCACGTCTTGCCCAGGTGGTGCCGGGGCATGGTGGGGAACAGGTGGTGCTCCAGCTGCCTGTTCAGCCCGCCTGTGAACCAGTCGTTGAAGAGGCCGCCGTTCACATCACGGGTGGTCACAATCTGAAGGGGGGTTGAGAGAGGGTAATGGTGGTTGAAGTTGAGAGACCACCATTTGGTGATGGAAGCTACACGATTTTTATTTCCAGCGAGAGTGCTCCCAACCCTGCTTCCGCCAGGTTCCTCATCTAACATCCCTAAATAACGAATCTACGCCAGCACAGCCTGACGCACCTGAGCGGTGTAGAAGTCTTTGCCCTCGTTGTAGATCTCCATGGCGTTGTGGCTCTGCACGAACACCACGGCCAGGAACAGCCCGCCGCAGATCTGCCCCGTCAGCATCCACATGAGGCCCTTCCAGAACGGCAGGCAGCCGAACCCGAACCCCAGCACCCACGCGTAGTGCAGCACCATGAACAGCCGCTCCCAGAAGCGCTCCTTAGGCGCCACCTCGTCCGAGAAGCAGTAAGTCAGGCTCGCGTACGACCTGCAGGGCGGGACGTAGGGGGACATTGTGAGGATGCTACGCGTCAAGCTAGTCCCGTAGGCCAAGCCCATTTACAGAAGTGAAGGGAGACATTGTGGCGTGCGGTTCTGCGAGGTAATGCGTGGTGAAGGTTCGCGTACCAGGCGAAGCGGGCGAAGGAGAGGATGGGGAAGAAGAGCGGGCTCTGGTAGCGCAGCATCGAGCGAATGGTCTTGCTCTTGACGGTCGCGAGAATGTCCTCGCTCCACGCCAGGTACGGCAGAGTATCGATATCCGGGTCGATTGGGCGGTACTCCTTGTCGCACTCGTTGGGCACGGCGTGGTGCGTGTTGTGCTTGTTCTTCCACCAGTTGGTGCTGAAGCCCATGGCCAGGTTACCGTGGATGTACCCGCCGATGAACGTGTTCATGAACCGCGATTGGAACACCTGCACGCGACACGAATCTACGTCAGCCGCTGCAGTCGTTCACCGTAAAAAGTATCGGTAATAAAGGGCTGGACGCGTGCTGCATGCGTGTGTCAAAGCTCGTGGTTCCATGTCGACTAATTCATTTCATGAGCAGCGAAGACAACCAGATTCAATGAGAAGGGCTGGGTGTGGCGCTGACCTGGTGGTGAAGGAAGTCGTGCGAGAGCCAGCCGACTTGTTGCCAGTAGAGGCCGAGAAGCATGCCGGAGAAGAGCACCCAGAGCGGGTCGGAGGTCCACATGATGATGGCGATGCTGGCGGCGACAATGGCGTCGGTGGACAGCACCTTGAACAGGTAGTACGCCAGATTGCTCTTGAAGTACCCCTTCGCCTCGAACGACGACCGCAGATCGCGGAAGTCCTTCAGCAGATCGCCGGTCGGCTCGACCTCGCTGTCCTGTAGCGGACGAAGCGGCAAGCAATCGAGAAGCCTTAGTGATTAGATTTGTGCCGTATGGCTCCCTAATCGTAATAAGCCTGAGGGGAAAAGGCTAGACATGTACTATACTATCCTTCACTGTGCAGATTTTGCAGAACGGGTAGGATTTTTGGTTTCACGTGTTATAAGGAGAGTACGAAGCCACTAGCGCAACTGACGTTCACTTTGGTGGTTATTGCTGGACGACTATTATCGCTTCTATCGCAATCAAATCAGGGCGTACCTTGAGCTCGCCGATTTGCAGCGTGGCGAGGAACGACTTGGTGGACTGCTTGTGGAAGGCGGCGAAGACGTCCGTGGCGTTGCGACCCGCCAGCGAGTAGATCACCCGCCCGCCTGGATGCCGGTCGGCGAAGTCGCTCACATCGTACACCTGCACGATCGACCGACAAGGGATAACTAATGTCCAGATCAGACAGAATAATGAATGAATTGAAACCAAGACAGAACCCGGACAAGCAGAATCGGAACTAGTATAGATTAAGACAGTTGCGGATTCGAGTCGGACCTTGTCTTGGACGACCACCCAAGCGTCCCCTGGGCGGTTGTGCTTGGACACCTCGTCCATGGTGAACTGCTTCGCCGCATTGCCGTTGGATCCGGCGACGGATCGCTTCGTGAGCCCGCCTGCATTACTGGCGACGGTCTCCACGGCTGCGACGCGAGCCTTGGTGACCTCGCCCTCGCAACCACCACGACCCTGGACAGACACAAGGCAGCACGTCGCCACGTCAGCTTAATGACAGATTTCACACACCTAAACACGCTACACGGGACGATATAGTCTGCACCGATAAGTCACGCACCATGCTGATTCGCTGTGATCTCTGCACCTAGTAGAGTACCACGGGCAGAGTCCAGCAAGAGCTTTTCCACTTCAGAGCCACCGAAGGAGCTATGCACAGTCCGGAATGGAGGTGAGACAGAGAATGGAGGTTGAAGTAGAGGAGGCGAGGAGAGATGGGTGGTGGGGAGGGTAGCCCGGCAGTGGCAGCAGAATGGTGACCCAATCTCGTGCATCAGTGGATCACTTGGGGGCGAGGAACATCCTGACGAACAGTTTTGGTGGTATCTGGAAATGTAACCACATTCACGACATTCGCAAGAGATATGTTGTGGCCATTTTCCTGTTCGGCAACACAATGGTCGCCTTTCGCGAGGCATTCACGATCTCAGCGATCGGGAGGGGGACATGGAGGGGGCACCACGACCGAGGGGGTCACGTGGAGGTTGTTCTCGGGGCGTGCGACAGCAGCTCCTGTTTGGCGGAATCCACGCCTACGACGAAAGTGAATTCGCGACCCTGGGAGGCTCGGATGCTGGGATGGAAATGATCGGGCTGCAAAGCTCGATGAAATCGAAGAGAAGTAGCTGCGAACGGTTCAGATTTGAACATGAGCCTCTCGCAAATCAGAGGAAGACAAGTTGTACAGATCGAGGTCTGGAAAGTGGCGGGAGGGCAACAGCTACGATTCGCGCAGCTATGGTAGCACTCCAGCATAGCACATGTTCATGTCCTTCTACAGCAAAAGTGATCACTCCCCGGAAACCCCAATTGCCCCACCCGCCATCACCCTCACCTGCGTACCGATCGAATCCGGCTCGGCGGAAGTGGACACCGCCAAAGTTGTTCCCTTCGCAGCCTTGATTTGCGGTAAACAAGCCAATGAACGGAGCGCATTCTGCAACCAGCGCGACGCGAATCTTTCTCTATTGTTGCGCTAGAGATTCTATTGGAGGACACAACGAAATAATTCATTGATGGGCCACATGACGTGGGCCACTGAGGCTTGACCACAGTGTGAGGTGGCGCAAGGGTGTCCGTGCATCTTGCAGCGCTGGAAAATATCCTCGCCATCTGGTCTTTCCGTTCTGCCCAGCGATTTTGTTGACTTCCTTTTGGTAATTTCTTAGGGAATTTGCACACCCACCTGAATTTCATCCTAACAACAGTAATTTCTGGCCCTCCCAATATTGCTGGAGAAGCAAGTTGTTGGGAAACAATATCATTATTGAAGAAGACCACAAATACATATGGTCTCTATGCAAGATCAGCAATCAGAACTTCTACCTCTTCCCTAGCAGCAAGGTCCTTCACTTTGACCACCCCCCGTTCCCACTCTGATGAACCCAGAATGATCATCCTTGACGCATTGACTCTCTCTGCCTGCTTGAACGCCCTGACAGAAGTGAAGGACAGTGGAAAAAAAAAAACGTTTCTGAAAGGATTGAGCAATAGGCAAATGAAAGAAGGTGCCTGAACAGAGAGCTGCTTGATTGGCATATGTGGAGGGCCCCTCTCAATATCTCTTACCATTTCAGCCGCTTGTTCTCAAGCACCAGGTCCACCCGCCTGCCCTTCTGGCGTAGGCGAGCTGCCACAGATGCAGCAGCGCCGTTGAGCGATTCGTCGAGAGGAACAACGATGTCATCGACTGTCTGTTGGAGCGATGGCATAAGACCTCTTTGTTTCAAAAGCTGTGGAGGGGAAAGGAAAGAGATGGCAGAGGGAAGAGATGGGTGAAAAAAAGAAGGTGAGCAGAAATTGAATATAGATCATGGTGGGCATGAGAAGCAGAGGTGCACATATGGCAGAGATAAACAACCACAAACGTCAAACACAGTCTCATAGACCTTGTCTTTTATTTAAAGTGCCTGCTGCACCGTACCATAGTCTCCTTCACCAATGCAGCCACAGCCTGCCTCACCTCGACAATGACGGCGTCCCCAAAGCCAAAGCCGCAGGCGGGTGTGTCGGAGGCAGCCCCAAAGGTGGAGAGTTGAGTCGACTCAAAGATGCAACGTGCCTCACCTCGACAATGACGGCATCTCCAAAGCCAAAGCCGCAGGCAGGTGTGTCCGCGGCAGCCCCAAAGGAGGAGAGCAGGCGGTCGTACCGCCCCCCTCCACAGATGGCCCTCAGCTCCCCCGCCCTGTCAAACGCCTGCCCGTGCTCGCACAGGCGGATGGTGAAAAGGAGGGTGGGGGGAGGGAAGGAGGAAGTGGTGGGGGGGGGGAGGGTTGGCAAGATGGGGGTCTGGCAGCACGAGAACATATTACTACCAGAGTCTACATGAACGTATGGCACGTGATTGATCAAACAAAAGGAGATGCTGGTTGATGAACAATGGTGTGAGATTAAACGGCCCTCAAAGTCGGTGCCTCAAACACGTAGTGAGGGATTCAAAATACCTCAAAGACAGTGCCAGTGTAGTAAGCGAGGCCGCGCACAACAGAGGCGTCAAACTCCAGCCACTCCGCAAAGCCGTGTGCCTCGGCCAGGGAGAAGAGGCGCTCCAAGTCCGCCACTGCTGCACTGCCGCCCTCCTGGCCCCCACTCGCTGCCATGTGCTCTGCACAGCACGGGACAGCCGAATGGCAGGTAATTGCAGTGCATTCGCGGAAGGTATGAAAGAGATGGGTATGAGCAGAGGGGAGGGGGAGACGAGGAAGGGGAGGCAAATGGGAGGGAGGGGGGAGAGGGAGGCCTGGAGTGACAGTGGAGGCGATGAAACAAAACGAGCCTGATACTACTTCCACAGGGCACAGGCACAGCTGATCCGTAAGAGCTGGCACTGACACACTCTCAGAGTTAATATGTTAATGCACCTCTGAGCTGCTGCAGCGATGAGATGTTCATGGTGGCCAGGATGGCCCGTGCTGCCGCCTCCTCCACCCCCAGCTCCGCCAGCTCCCTCCCCACCTCCCCCTCCCCTATCTTGTCCCTCTGCCGCACACACATGGGAGGACGGGTGACAGGGTGGACAATGCAGGCAGAGAGGTCAGGTGCAGGCAGAGTCAAATGGGAAGTATGGTGGATGGTGAAAGAGAGTATGCCGCCTCGTCCACCCCCAGCTCCGCCAGCTCCCTCCCCACCGCCCCCTCCCCTATCTTGTCCCTCTGGTCGCACACACACACACGCGCACACGGGAGGAGGGGTGACAGGGTGGTTGAATGCAGGCAGGGAGGTGAGGAGTGGGTAGAGTCTCAAAAGGGAGGTGTGGTGGACGGTGAAAGGGAGTCTGCTGCCGCACAGCAAAGGGAGTAGTGGGATGGGAGTATACAGATGTGTGGAAGGAATATAGTCTGCACTGACCTTGTCCACCACCACACAGACTGCCGCGAACTTGTCAGCGGGCACACCACTGCCCTCCACCACCTCTTGCAGCACCTGCCAGGAGCGAGGAGTGGAAGCAAGCAAAGGGTGGGAGTAGTGTGGCACACAGGTGAGCCCTCCGCATCTAAGACAAAAAGACACGTGTAATGAGTGAAAAGAGAGGGTGACAAGCGGAGGCCAAGCACAGTGCCGATCTACTAGGGTGCAGGGCCCACACTGCTCAAGGGGGGATGCACTGCTCAGAAAGGTGTGCTCTGCCTTGCATGGTGAAGGAAAAGGGTGCAGAGCAGTACCTTGCGGTTGGAGACACGGATGCCGACGTCCTTGGAGGAGAGCCCCACGCGTGTGAAGAACGCCACCACCGCTGCCAGCAGCTCCGCCTCCGCCTGCTCGCACCCAGGGGTGTGGGCGGGAGTAGAGGTGTGGGAGGGAAGGAGAGGGGTATTCCAGTGAGAATCTCAACAGACCCATGCGTGTGAAGAACGCCACCACCGCTGCCAGCAACTCCGCCTCCGCCTGCTCGCACCCAGGGGGGAGGGGGAGTGGGAGAGGTACGGAGTGCGGAACAGAAGGTATTTCATTGAGAATCTCAACAGCCCCACGCGCGTTAAGAACGCCACCACTGCTGCCAGCAGCTCCGCCTCCGCCTGGTTGAGGGGGGAGGGTGAGAGGTGGGGTGTGAGGTAGGCGGTGGGAAGGGAGATGGGAAGAAGTTGGCATCTCGTCTGAGAATCCCAAAAGACCCACATGTGAAACGAACGCCACCACTGCTGCCAGCTGCTCCGCCTTCGCTTGCACGTGGAGAGTGCAGGGAGAGAGGGAGGAGGTGGGAGAGAGTGGAGGGAGAAGCAGATACTTGAGAGGGAGATGTAAGGGGGATAGGGGTGTCTGGGGTTGGGAGGGAGATTCGGATGAGGAAGGCAGGGAATAGGGGGAGGATGGTGAAAATAAGGGGAGGAGGAGGGCGGGAAATAAGGACAAGGGGGAGGAATTGGGAGGAGAGCAGAAGGTGAGGAAGGCTGGTAATAAAGGGAGAGAGAGGCAGGCAGGTGATGGGAAAGCGGGAGATGGCATGAGATGGGACATGAGAAGAAAAAATGGGATTTGAGGTGGGACTTGAGGTGGGTGGGACTTGAGGTGGGTGGGACTTGAGGTGGGTGGGACTTGAGGTGGGTGGGACTTGAGGTGGGTGGGACTTGGGTGGGACTCCAAGCTGGGACTGAAGCTCCAGTCCCGAAAGCTGGGACTGCAGCTCCAGTCCCGAAAGCTGGGTGTGCAACCATTTGGGGTTCAGGGATTTGGGGAGGGACTGACCTCCACTCCCGGCACTCCCAGAATGTCCATGTTCCACTGGTAGTGCTCCCTGCGCCTGCCACGTGTCATGCGCTCGTAGCGCCAGCACTGCCCAATCGCAAACCACTTCACCGGCAGCGCCAGCGACTTGCTGCTCCCAGGAACGGGCCGACGCGTGGGCACGTGGATGAGTGGGAGGAAAGGGGAGGAGGGATATGGTGGGGGGCAGGGTATGGAGTAAGAGAGACCTTGGCAGGGGTGGGGTGGAGTGGAGAGACAAGGAATGGTGGGGAAGTGGGAAGTGAGGCACTAGAGAGAGACCAGACTGCTGCTGGTTCACCAAGCACACAGCATGACGGCGCCGTACCATACTCTCTTGCCACCTGCACTTTGAACCCTAGAGGCGCCTGGCGATGCTCTATAGAACGTCCTCCCCTGCCTGATGTTGCCCCCTCAGGCGTTCCCCCCTGCCTGACGATATTCCCTAGGGCGCTCCCCCCTGCCTGACGGTATTCCCTAGGGCGCTCCCCCCTGCCTGACGGTATTCCCTAGGCCGCTCCCCCCTGCCTGACGGTATTCCCTAGGGCGCTCCCCCCTGCCTGATGGTGCGCCGTTCCTTGGGTGCCCCCTGTGCCTGGGTGGCGGCATTCCCAAGGACAGCTCACCCTTTCTGCAGCACGAGGCGGGCGAGCGAGGGAGTGAGCTCGGGGCGCAGAGCCACGCGACGGCCACCCTTGTCCTCAAAGTTGTACAGCTGTGCTCATGCCATGCAGCATGCCATGCCACGCACATGGCGCCGGTGGAAGGGAAACACGGGTCACAGGGAGGTGGGGTGGGGTTACAGGGGGAGTGACGTTACAGGGGGCGTGGGGCCACAGGGGAGTGAGCTCAGGACGCAGAGCCACGCGGCGGCCGCCCTTGTCCTCGAAGTTGTACAGCTGTGGGCATTCACACGCAGCATGGCGCCAGTGGGAAGACAACATGGGTTCACATGGGGTTGGGGTCAGAGAGGGGGGGTTGCAGTTACAGGAAGAATGAGTTAATAGAAGGATCAGCCGGGTAACGAGGGAGGGCCTAGGCAGAGTACAGAACATGCGCTGCCTCGCCTCGCCTCTGCTTCCCCAATCCTACCCCGTTTCCTCCCCGCTCCTTCCCCGCTCCTCCTCTCTCCTTCCCCGCTCCTTCCTCTCTCATTCCCCGCTCCTCATTCCGCACTCCCTCGTGGGGCTGACCTGCTGGGTGATCTCCTCGCCCGCCTTGCGCACGAACAGCTCCTCCGACTCCAGCACGGGGTAGTCCACCTCCTCGAACCCAAACACCTGCGACACCTGTGCTCACGCAGTCACACACTGGGCGGGCTTTGAGTCGACTCACTCGGCACATCCTCCGACTCCAGCACGGGGTAGTCCACCTCCTCGAACCCAAACAGTTGTGACACCTGCATGCAGGGACACACTGGGCAGATATTGACCACTCGGCGGACCAGGGAGACCGTGTGGAATAAGGCTACTATTAGACGCGCACGAAGGGCTCCTCTGATTCCAGCACGGGGTAGTCCACCTCCTCGAACCCAAACAGCTCTGACACCTGCACGCAGAGAGACGGTGTGAGTGGGATTGCTTTTAGACGCTCAGGGATAGCAAATGCGACTCCAGCACGGGGTAGTCCACCTCCTCGAACCCAAACAGCTGTGATACCTGCACTGCAATCATGCAGGGAGACCGAGATACATGGGATTGCCTTAAGGCGTTCACGGAAGGCTATTACTACTCCAACACAGCTTTTGAAACGTCGGTTTTCAGGAATGCCAGGACCCACTCCTGCCAAGGTAGTGCCCCTCCCCAATGCGTAACACCCGAGCCTAACACTCGAGCTGCCGACCTGTCTGAAGTGCCCGAAGAGCCAGTTGCGCAATCGCATGTCGTCGGGGGGAAAGTCTCGAGTGCCACGTGGCGGGCTCACGTCGATCAATTCCGTCTTTCCTCCCGCCTTTCCCTGCGCCGGCGGGCCGGCCGAAGACGGTCCGCGCGAAGCGGCTTTCTTCTCCCCCTTCTCAGCCTTTTCCTCCGCAACTGCCGGCGCATTTGACGCCGAGGCGCGCACGGACAGGCTGGGAGGTGAAGCATGGCCGGGACAGAAAGTCACGGGTGAACCTTGGGATTGCCGATGCAAACTCCCTGGAAGGATCGCGTGAGTGCATGCTCGGCAGATGGCTGTCGAAATGCTGTGTAGGGACGAGAGGTTGCGTGACGGAGAAACTGAAGAATGGAGATGGGAGAGTGAGGACTGGCTATGATTATTGGCTTGGCGAACACAATGGACGATCGACGGCTGACGGCATCGCAGCACGCTCTGTGTGAGAGATGCCGTCGCCATTGCGACGAGCCGCTGCGACGCGATCCTGCGATGCTCCAAAGCGTTTGTACAGTGGGACAGCAGAGGCAGAAGGGTCCCTGCTGCACTACGTCGGGATTCCCGATGTAGAGTTGCGACAGTATGGCAATCTCCAAAAGAAATGGAGATGCGATGAAAAGCAGAAATGGCTGCGAGGAGTAGGAAGCGGATGGGGAAGGAAGGGAACTTGCTTGGTTTGTGGCTGGGAGGGATGCCACGAGGATCTCTACTCTCGATTCTCCCGAGGCGGGCGGAGGCGACAAGTAAGGATGGTAGAAATAAACTCTATAACGTGGTTTACGGGTGTACATTTCCAATATTTGACCCCTTACGGAACGCCGAAACTGTGCATACACATTGACAGAATCATTGATTTTATTCCACCTTCCAATGCCTTCAATCAAAATTGGTTGAGAATAGCACCCTAACTCGGGGGCACTCCTGTATCTAAACTGGATTTTTGGGTGACAATTCATGGAGCTAGCTAGGGCTGTTCTGGGGATGATAATGGTAAGCAGGCAAAGGCAGGTACATGGTATGGTACCATCATTTGACATGCAAGCAACTATCTGGTCCCACAAGCATGCTCATCTCACATTCGCAAACCAGCATACACACATCAATGGCCACACGGACATGTGAAGCAACCATCACTGCTTCACCTGAAGCTGGCAAATTTCACATGGGCCCACCACGTGTGCAACATAGGGGTTGCAAAGTTTTAAGTCCAATGTGGCATTCCACTGTCCACACCAAGAGCAACGCGTCAGGCCTTCTCTGCAATTTTGCTGAGATGCTCGAGCACTAGGGACGTGCCCTTGGCGAAGGACACCTTCTCATAGGCAAGCCCGTGCTTCTCGCAGAGCTCCTTCACTGCCTTGCACGTCTTGCCCAGGTGGTGCCGGGGCATGGTGGGGAACAGGTGGTGCTCCAGCTGCTTGTTCAGCCCGCCTGTGAACCAGTCATTGAACAGCCCGTCGCTCACATTACGCGTGGTCACAATCTGAAGGGTCGCAGAGAGGGGACAATGGTGGATGAAGTGGGAAGACCAACCATCACACAGTCAAGTTGGCATGCATTCACTTTATACCAAGCCTGACCACCACTCAATCATGGCACTGGCTGTAACTTTCAGGCAAGACTGCTCCCAGTGCTACTTGTTCTTTCACCTCTACCGGCTTCCTCATCACACATCCCAGGACAGCACATCACAGGACAGCACATCCATGGCAGTGCAACGCAACGCACCTGGGCGGTGTAGAAGTCTTTGCCCTCGTTGTAGATCTCCATGGCGTTGTGGCTCTGCACGAACACAAACGAAAGGAACAGCCCGCCGGAGATCTGCGCCGTCAGCAACCACGTGACGGCCGTCCAGAACGGCAGGCAGCCGAAGCCGAACCCCAGCACCCACGCGTAGTGCAGCACCATGAACAGCCGCTCATAGAAGCGCTCCTTCGCTGGCACCTGATCCGAGAAGCAGTAAGTCAGGCTCCCGTACGACCTGCATGGCAGGTATTGGGGAACATCACACGAGGATTCTGTTGCCAAGCTAGTCTCCGAGGCCAAGCTCACGTAAAGAGATACCGGCAGCCATGTGACGTGCGGTTCTGCGAGGTAATGCGTGGCAAAGGTCGCGCTTACCATGCGAAACGGGCGACGAAGAGGGTGGGTAAGAAGAGAAAGCTCTGGTAGCGCAGCAGCGAGCGCACGGTCTTGCTCTTGACGGTCGCGAGAATGTCCTCACTCCACGCCAGGTACGGCAGCGTGTCGATATCCGGGTCGATTGGGCGGTACTCCTTGTCGCACTCGTTGGGTATGGCGTGGTGTGTGGCGTGTTTGTTCTTCCACCAATTCATGCTGAAGCCCTGGGCCAGGTTGCCGTGAATGTACCCGCCGATGAACGTGTTCAGGGACCGCGATTGGAACACCTGCACGCGAGTGGAATGATCTTCGTCAACCGTGAAAGATTATCGGTAATACAGCGCTGCTGCGTAGGTGCGGAGCGCGCGGCGTGCGTCTCAGTTAGCGGTTTCAGGAGGACTCTCTGCTTCGATAACGAGCGGAGACAACAGCATCAGTGAGACGACAGACTCGCGTGCGCGTGGCGCTGACCTGGTGGTGAAGGAAGTCGTGCGAGAGCCAGCCGACTTGTTGAAAATAGAGGCCGAGAAGCACGCCGGAGACGAGCACCCAGCGCGGGTCGGAGGTCCACATGATGATGGCGATGCTGGCGGCGACAATGGCGAACGTGGACAGCACCTTGAACAGGTAGTACGCCGGGCTGCACTTAAAGTACCCCTTCGCCTCGAACGACGCCCTCAGATCGCGGAAGTCCTTGAGCAGATCGCCCGTCGGCTCGACCTCACTGTCCTGTAACGGACGAAGCGGCAAGAAGTCGGGAGGCCATCATGAGATTAGAAACGTGGTAGGCCGTGTGGGGAGAGGCTAGAAATGTACTAGACTATCTCTCTCCGGGCAGATTGCCAGACGCGGGCTGGGGCTTCGAGGCTAGAAAGGTACTACATTTTGCAACAAATGACGGAGCCACTGGCGCTACTTACGTTCACTTTGGCAAACATTGCTGGAAGACTAAGGTTCAACTGATACGTTGGTCGTATCTATCGCATCCAAACCCGAGCGTACCTTGAGATCGCCGATGTACAGCGTGGAGAGGAACGCCGAGGTGGACGGCTTGTGGAAGACGGCGAACACGTCCGTGGCGTTGCGACCCGCCAGCAAGTAGATCACGCGCCCGCCTGGATGCTGGTCGGCAAAGTCGCTCACATCGTATACCTGCACGATCCACCGACACAGGGTAAATGAAGTCCAACTCAGACAGAATGTTGGAAGGACATCAGGAACAAGACAGAACCGGTACGAGCAAAACTAGTATTAAGAAAGGAAGTTAAGGATTTCTGTCGGACCTTGTTTTGGACGACCACCCAGGCGTCCCCTGGGCGGTTGTGCTTGGACACATCGTCCATGGTGAATTGCTTCGCCGCATTGCCGTTGGATCCGGCGACGGATCGCTTCGTGAGCCCGCCGGCATTACTGGCGACGGTGTCGACAGCTGCAACACTAGCCTTGGTGACCTGGCCCTCGCAACCACCACGACCCTGAACAGACACAAGGCAGCACGCCATCACGTCAGCTCAATGGCAGAATGTGCACATATAAAAAGGCTGCGAGGAATGCGACTGTCTGAAGCGCTAAGACACGCACCATGTTGAATCGCTGTTAACAGCGAATAATTATCTCTGCACCTAGTTTCAGTACCACGTGCAGAGCACAGCGAGAAATTGCTCTTCACACAGATGGAAATACGCACAACAGCCTTGCGTTGAAATAAACATGGCATTTGACCCGGACGGGTCGGGTAAAGGCCGGGTCAGGTCAGGTGTAGTGAGTATCTCGACCGGGGTGGATGACAATGTAGGGTGATGAAGAAGAGGAGTCGAGAGGAGAGTTGGGTGGAGGAGAGGGGAGTGAGTGAGCAGCCCAAGCAGTGGCAGAGGGGTCATCATGAGTGAGTGTATCCCTCGAACCGCGGAACAACTTTTCGAACAGCTATGGTGGTCGTTTACATAGTAACCCTTTATACGAGCTTCGCCAAATCCACGCTGAGGTTATTGTGCGCTCGACAACACACATGGTCGCTGTTAGCGAGAGTTTCACCGATCGGGAGCGACACGCAATGGGGGGCGCCACGACCTAAGGGGGTCACGTGGAGGCTGTTCTCGGGGCGTGCGACAGCACGCCTAAGAAGAGCCACCCTAAGAAGTGGCACCCTCTGAATTCGCAAATCGCGACCCTGGTACGGAACACCTCGGCTCACCCTGGTGCAGCGGGTGTGGAGGCTTACCGAGGTCACCGGGTATGGAGGGCTACCAGGGTCACCAGGCTGTGGAGTGGAGGCTTACCGAGGTCAGCACAGGTGTGGAGGCTCACCAGGATCACCGAGGTCAAGGGGCGTGCCGGGGTGTTCAGGTCGAAAAGGAAGCCAAGGACGCTACAGTAACAATAAATTCTATAACTTGGTTCAAGGGTGTACATTTTCGAAATTCCATCCCTTACAGAACGCGGAACCGTGCATTGCATACATATTCACACAATCATTGATTTTCTTCCACCTTCCAATGCCTTGAATCAAGTTTTGGTTGACCATGGCACCCTAATTCGGAAGCACTCTTATCTGCACTGAATTCCTGGGTGACAATGCATGGAGGTATCTGGGTCTGGGGCTGTTCTGGAGACATGAAGGGCAGGTAGATATAGTGCCATCACTTCAGAATACTTGCATTTGACATGCAAGCAACCATATGATCCTTCAAGCATGCTCAGCTCACATTACCAGACCGGCATACAGACATCGATGCATGTAGGGACATGAGGCGCAACCATCACTGCTTAGCCTGAAGCTGGCACATGGAATGGATACAACAGATACCTTTACAGCCGCAAATATCCTTTGGGCCCTTATGCAACACACGGAGACAAACAAGAAAGTACACAATGCTACGTATACAACAGGACTGACTATTCACAACTAAATGAGAGTGACTTCATTTCACCACGATCCTCAACTGCTGTGGTTACGATTCTCGTTCACACAACCATAGCAATCTTAGGGCTGACGTCAGACGATGGCTGAGCGACAGCCACATTGTCCTCTGCTTCGGCGGGAACCACGGCAACTGTGTTGTCGTTATCAGCGGGAACAACGGCGACCGTGTTGTCGTTATCAGCGGGAACAACGGCGACCGTGTTGTCGTTATCAGCGGGAACAACGGCGACCGTGTTGTCGTTATCAGCGGGAACAACGGCGACCGTGTTGTCGTTATCAGCGGGAACAACGGCGACCGTGTTGTCGTTATCTGCGGGAACAACGGCGGCCGTGTTGTCGTTATCAGCGGGAACCACGGCGACCGTGTTGTCCTTATCAGCGGGAACAGCGGCGACCGTGTTGTCGTTATCAGCGGGAACAACGGCGACCGTGTTGTCGTTATCAGCGGGAATCACGGCGACCGTGTTGTCGTTATCAGCGGGAACAACGGCGACCGTGTTGTCGTTGTCAGCAGGAACCACGGCGACCGTGTTGTCGTTGTCAGCGGGAACCACGGCGACCGTGTTGTCGTTATCAGCGGGAACCACGGCGACCGTGTTGTCGTTATCAGCGGGAACCACGGCGACCGTGTTGTCGCTATCAGCGGGAACCACGGCAACGGTGTTGTCGCTATCAGCGGGAACCACGGCGACAGTATTATCGTTATCCTTGGCAACGATGGTAACGGAGTTATCGCTGTCTGCAGGAAGAGGACGGCTAGCGTGACAGAACGCGGCAGCCGCGAGGAGGGCGAGAAGTACGAAAGCCGCCTTGCTCGCCATGGCGTCTACTTGATGATCTGAAGAAAAAGCCGAGGTTCCGTTCTACAATCTGTCTAGATTGCTGATAGCGTCTGTATCGGATGCTTGGGGTGGATAGTGAAGCAAAGTGAAGAAATGTGAGGGTGGTGAGGCGAAGGAAGCAAGGCGGAAAGAGGAATTCGCTGGGAGGGGCATTTTGACTGCAGCTCTGTGGCAGGTGTTCACCTGGCTCCTGATCCGATACCTGCGATCCGTCCCCGCCATCTCCGGTTATACAGATTTCGCGAATAAGCTGGACACAAATAGCACCTGCTGAATTCATTCTACAGTGATGTTCCGCTAATGAGGATTCACAGCAAGAGCTTACCGTAAGATAAATAGCAACCAATAACCACTCAGACAGAGAAGCAACCATTGACAATGCGTCATTGTACTTAAAACAGGCGACTAGGAGAGTCGATGGAGACAACATGATCCTCTCCAGCGCCATCCTCTTCGTCACTATCATTCCCTACCCTTTCATGGGGCGCGGAAGGAATCGGTTGAAGTTCACGCGATGGGCCTCCCCTTGATTCTCTTCTTGATGGATTCCCTAGGAATGCCTCACCTTCTGCTGAATCTGGTTGCCGGTCGAGGGGAATACCACTGGACGAGGATGGGGCTGAGGAAGGAGGCCGACGTGGCGGCAGAAATGCACGGGGGACTTCAGGCTTTGCCACATCTCCAGCACCACCGTCCCTCGATACCCCGTCAGGCTTCACACCACCATCACCACCACCATCACTGCCTGGCGTTCGCGAATCAGCCGCTGCATAAAGCGAGGGCAGGATCGCAGACAGCGACGTGCTGTGCGCCCCGCTGCGTGCCAGCTGGCCCTGCGCTGCAAAGCTGACATGGCCGCTGCGCATCGATTGGACAATGTTGGGGTCACTGGTTTTGCGCGCGCTGGCACCTGATGACGTGGCGGCGCGATTGACCTGCTGTCCTACCTGGCGGCGGAAATCAGGCAGCAGGTGTGGCTGGGAGGCGGTGAAGAGGGCGGAGGTGGGGGAGGGGGCGGGGCTGACTCGTGCGGTGTGCAGGTTGTAGTGGCTGTGGTAGTGCGCGTGCGCGTGGCTGTAGTGCAGCTGTGCGTGGTGGTGCGGTGACGTGTCCGTAGTCCTGCGCGGTCTCAGGTTCAGCTGGGACAAGGGGGGGGAAAAGAGGGGCATGGTGTGAGAAGCGTGGGCAGATAAGTTGATCGAGCGCAAGCAGTAAATGCAAACCAAATGCAGATCAGTCACGACTGTCTATAACAAAAAATAAATAACCAACTAAAAAGTCTCCATAGAAGCGAGCAGTAACAACACGTGCGCACACGTGCTCTCTCCCCCCCAGATCTCTCACACGCACCTTGCTGCCGAACACACTGAGCTCCATGGCTCGCTCCGTAAGCGCCTAGTCCACCAGAGCACGGTCCCTCAGTGCTGAGGCGACTCAAAAAGAAGTGTCTGGCAGCACACTCTCTCTCCCCAGATCTCTCACACGCACCTTGCTGCCGAACACACTGAGCTCCATGGCTCGCTCCGTGAGCGCCTGGTCCACCACAGCACGGTCCCTCAGTGCCGCCGCCAGCTCACTGCCGCGCGGCATCGTCATCTCACTCGCCCCCTCCTCGCCCAGCCCCCCCATGCCCTCCTCGCCAGCATGCTCCCCCGCCCCCATGGCCGCCAGAAGTGCCTCGTTGAGGGTGCTCTCCTCCGCTCCCTCCGCTCCGAAGCGCAGCAGCCCATCGTGGTCGTGCGTGGCCTGCGGGCGGTGCACGTGGAACGACCTGATTGGCCGGGGAGTGAGAGGGCAGAAGGAGGTGAGGACGGTAGGAGAGGATGGTTGCATTGCAGATGATGGAATATGCGCACGCAGAGCGAGTCAAGAAGGACAGCAGGAAGGTGCGTGCGAGCAAGCGATGAGAAGATGATAGGTGCCAGTGATGTACATGTGTTCATGCATTGCGAGTGATCGTGCAAGATCCACACATGCATCCACTCTATGCCGCACGCACCTGGTGGGCGTGTTTTGGACGGACATGAGGTCGCGGGGCATGTGGATGACAAGCAGCTTGCAGAGGGAGAGGGCGGAGTAGCGCCCGTGCAGCATGGCAGCGCTGTCTCCATACACTGCCCGGTCAGGGGCTGCACACAGAGAGACAGCACATAGCGGGTCATGGACTCATGACACAACAGGAAACCCAGGATTCCCTGTTGCTTGCTGCATACTCAAACTTTCTGACCCATTCAGGGAATATGCAATGGCACAGGCAGCAGTTGTGGGAAAATCACCTGCGGCTGGCAGTGGCTGCGCTGTGAGCAACGCCGGAGCATCTATGGCCACCAACAAGCCATTCTCCACGCGCCCATCGCCCCCTCCTCCTCCACCCCCATGGTTCTCACTGCCACCGCCCAGCAGCCTATCGCTCTCGCCTACATCACCCCCTTGCACGCCATCTGCCTCTGAAACCTCGCCCCCTTTCCCCTGCCCAGCGCCTCCATTTGCAGAACCAGCAGCGGCATAATCAGCAGCAGCGGCAGCATCAGCAACGGCAGACGAGGCAGCAGCAGTATGCGTGGGATCCAGCAGAGGCTGGGATGCAGCGAGTGCAGAACCAGAGAAAGGAATGGCGGAGGCAGAGGCGGAGGCGTTGGCTAGAGAGAGGTCGACGGGACGCACGGAGCCAAGCAGCAGCACGGCCACTTGCGAGGGCAGCAGGTCCAGGGTGTCTCCTGGGCGGCATGTGAGGAGGTGCGCTGAGTCTGTGAGCAGCACTCGCAGCTCGTGCATGGAGAGTGCGCCAAACTCCTCTGGTTGCAGCACCCTCACTACTTCCAGACAGCTCTCCTGCATGGGGAGGAACACAGCACAGAAGACGCATGAGAGCACAGGGAGGACGGGGAGGGAAACAGGGAGAAATGGGAGAAGAACATGGAGAGTGTGAGGGAGGGGGGACAGGAGCAGACATACTGCAAGTTGAGAACAAATAGGAGGGAGAGAGCGAAAAAATAGATAAGCCCTTCCCGTTACCAATGCTCTCACCTTCCAAAGGAAGTCCTCAATGGTGTCGCTGCTACCCGCAGCATCCATGATCCACTGCCTGTCGATGAAGAAGCAGTGCAGCACGCTGTCTGCCACCACCGTGCTCATGTGCGCGCACCCCTTGAGCATCTCATACAGCCCCGCTTCTCACCTTCCAGAGAAAGTCCTCTATAGCGTCGCTGCTACCAGCGGCATCCATGATGCGCTGGCGGTCGATGAAGAAGCAGTGCAGCACGCTGTCTGCCACCACCGTGCTCATGTATGCGCACCCGCGCAGCGTCTCATACAGCCCCACGGAGCTGCCGTGTGCAAACAGCGGCGGGATGAACCGATGCCCATGCGCCTCTGCTTCCGCCTCTGCTCGCGCTGACGTCCACTGCCGTTGGTGGGTGGGGTGGGACGGGGGAGAGAGAATAAGATGTGCAGGAAGAAGGGTGTGAGAGAACCGAGAGTGGGGACATCTGAGTATCTGATACTGCGTCACATGAAGGATGGATGGACGGAGGGACGGACAGATGGGTGGGTGGGTAGGTGGGCAGGTGTGCGTACCTTGGCGGTGCCAGAGGCGATGAGCCAGACGCCTTGAGCCGCCTGCCCCTCGTGGAAGAGGGACGCCCCGGAGAGTTTGGTGGCCTCTTTGAGCGGCTGCAGCAGCGCGAGGCGGATGTCCGCCGGTAGCGCTCCGATCAGCGGCTGCCGTGCCAGCACCTCCCCCGCCGGCAGCATCGCCACAAACGGCGGGCTGCGCTGCAGCTTCTTCATGTCCGCCTGCACCGCCTTGTGCAGATGCATCACCTCGCGCTGGTCCAGCAGCCCTGCGTGCTCGAGATTCTCGACGTACCCGTGCAAGCCCTGCAGGATGGCGTGTGTGACCTGCTTGGTCTTGATGATTGTAAGGACTTCTGGGAAGTTGAGGCGCACGTCCTCCATGAACTTCTTGGCTGGTGTCTCCTCCTCCTCGCTCTCCAGTATCACCGCCTCGCATATCGGGCTGTCCTCTGATGGACGGAGGGGTGAGGAGAGGAGAGGGAGGGCGAGGGAAAGATGAGGAAGCAGCGCAGAAGTGATGGAGCAACAGCCATGCAAGCGGGTGATTTCACCCACAGATTCACAAATCCATTCACTGATCAACAACCCCACTCACTGAGGAAGTCCCGCAGCTGCTGCCGGGCGTGCCTTAAAGCGCGGATGTAAGCAGCAGACATGGAGGCGGCGAGCTCGAGGCGGTCCACCGTGACCCAGTTGAGGGCGCGCTGGGGCAGCAGTGATGGCGCAAGGGCCGTGCACACGGGTGATTCCACCCACTGACTGACGTACAATTTCACCCACCCGTTAATCAACCATCCCACTCACTGAGGAAGTCCCGCAGCTGCTGGCGGGCGTGGCGCAGGGCGCGGATGTAAGCGGCACTCATGGAGGCGGCGAGCTCCAGGCGGTCCACCGTCACCCAGTTGAGGGCGCGCTGCGGGAGCAGCCTGCGCAGGCGGCGGTGAATGAGGCGCAGGTAGCGTGGCATGCGCACGTGGGGCTCCAGGGCCTTCCAGAGCATCAGGCGCCGCTGCTGCGTGGTGAGGTCGACGGCCTCGGCCACGGCCTGCATGAGCAGCATGGCGGCCGTCTGGTTCACTCGCCCCTCCTCCAGCATGCTCCAGTACGCCGCCTGCACACCTGGGAAGAGTGACGGACAGTGGTGGTGGTGGGGCAGCATAGAGAAGGGAAGCGAGGAGTCTGTATTTGACGCGCCTCAAAAGGAGAGGAATTGAACGGGAGCAGGGTGGGAGAGGCCGCGGCAATGCTGGTGTACGTGACCCATGGGAGGCAGCCACGAAAGTGAGATCCAGTAGGCCATGTCTCAGGATGCAAAACCAAGAAACACAGCAGGGCTGCTAAATAAGCATGCAGGGGTGGTGAATGAGCATGCAGGCGCGCACCATTGAGGAACCGGAGGCGAGTGTCATGCAGCTGCTGCGCCCTCAGCTGCTCATGCGGCTGGCTGTGGTCATGCGGGTGGCTCTTCCTCACCCCCACCCCCGACCCTCCCCCCGAACCAGCCCCCGAGCCTCCGAATCGGCTCAGGAAGGCGCTGGCGGAGAGGGTCCCATGGGAGGCGGGCTGCTTGAGGCAGGTGAGGTACTCGTTGACTGTGGCCCACTCCGCTGGACCCAGCTCCTCGTCATCTCCTATCTCCTCAAAGGTCTTCACCGCGTACTCACACAGCTCCTGGCGCGTGAAGTTCACCACTCGCTTCTGTTGTGGGAGAGGCGGGGAGGGGCGGGGGTGCGAGCAGGGGGAGGTGGGGCGGGAGAAGAGGGGAAGGAAGTAGGCGATGGGGGATGGGAGAAGGACAGAAAGGAGGGTGACTGAGAGCAGGGCGGATAGAGGTTCAGGAAGAGGAGTAAAGAAATAAAACAGGGAGAGAGTGACGGCGGAGAAGGGAAGGGAGCGAGCAAGGAACCAGAGTAGATACATTGGAACACACAGGATGGCTGAGCGGAGAAGAAAACGAGCCGACAGGGAAGATGAGGAACCTAACGCGGTTAGATAGGTTGTGATGATAATTGAGGCGTGTAAGGAGGGGGAGAGGGAGCGGGTCACCTTGATGTCGGAGGTGGCGTTCATCTTGAGAGCGGCGAGCACGAACTGCGTGGTGGAGCCGTTCACTATGAGCGTCAGGAACACCACTCCACCCGTCAGGAACATGAACTGCCGCGTGGAAGCGGGCGGGCGGGTGGGCACAGAGAGGTGGCATGAGCAGAATCGCATGTACTGTGAACCCTAAATTTCAAACACCAATTTTGCAGGAGAAAAGAGGTGCGCTGCACATAGAAAAATGAGGACGGGGAATATGGCTGGCTGGTTAGCCGTGGGTGCAAATGAACCTTGAAGAACAGAGGCAAGTGGACGAAGAGTAGGAGAAGACTCACCCTGGCTTCTGTTTCTTTAGTGATGTTTTCTGTTACCGGCTCGTGCTGTCACATGGACGCAAGGAAGGAGGGGTTAAACATAACGGTTAGTTAATGGTGAGACTGACGCCCCATGGCAGAAGCAGGCCAAGGAATGAGGACGTTCCGCAAAGGGGCGAGGCATGAATATTGACAAGCAGAGGAAGAGACCGCGACGGTGCCCTGCATGCAGCCGACCGATAGGACGCAGCAGAGAAACACCACGCCCCCCATGTGCCCCACGCCCCCCGTGTGCCCCACGCCCCCCATGTGCCCCACGCCCCCCGTGTGCCCCACCCACGCCCCCCGTGTGCCCCACGCCCCCCATGTGCCCCACACCCCCCATGTGAGCTGTGACTTACGCTGACGAGCAGGGCGAGCGTGAGGGCGACGGCACCGCGCAGCCCCGACCAGACGAGGATGATGGCCTCCTTCCACGTGAGCCCGTAGCCGCTGCTGGCCAGCCCGGGGTACAGCACCCCCACCACCACCACTCGGGACAGCTGCACAAACACGTAGAGCAGAATCATGTAGCCCCAGTCCGCGCCTGGCAGGCAGAGGGGGTAAGGGGAGAGGGAAGGGGAGACTTTTGAGTCGACTCTAAAGTCACTCCCACCACCACCACGCGGGACAGCTGCACGAAGACGTAGAGCAGAATCATGTAGCCCCAGTCCGCGCCTGGAGCGTGCAGGGGGGAAGGGGAGAGGGAAGGGCAGGGCAGAGTATGCGAGGAGGAACATGATGGGAGAGGAGTATGGCAAGGGGAGTTGCAGTGGCGAGCAGAATCGAGTGGCTTCTAAAACAAGTTGAAGAGCTGACCACCAAGTCGCCATAGCCAGCAGCAGCAGCACGCAGAGTAGGGCAATATCAGCGTTAATAAGAGCGGTGGGCGGGGCGGAGTAGGGAGGAGGGCGGAGTAGGGAGGAGGGGGGCACCTTTGATGTAGTTGGCGTTGAGGAGGATGCTCTCCGATATCACCACTCCACTGCCACGTGGGGAGACGAAGAGATTGCATTGCAGCACATGAGATGTGATGTGGAACACCTTAGTCCCGGGTCAACAGCATGGGCTCGCACGGTGCCTACCCAAAATCTGATTGGAAGTCAGCAGCAGCATGAGGTCGCGTGATGGTGTGGAAAAGGCGTTACCTGAGCACAAAAATGAGCGTGTTGGCGATGTAGGACACCATCTCCCTGCATGCAAGGAAGCACAGAGTGGAAGGGCATGGACATGCATTAATGCATTTTTGGATGCAATTGAGAAACACAGTAGAGTACGTGCGTGGCATGAAATGGATAAGTGCCGAAGGGTTCTCACCAGAAGTGGTGCATGCTCTGCTCGCTCTCCCCTGTGAATGCTGTCTTGGCGAATATGGCAAACATGCTGCCATGGAGAGGGGGGACGAGGGAGGAGAGCAGAGGGAAGGAGAGAGTTGAGTGAGTTGTGTAAAGAGCCCCCAGGTCATACACAGAATATGAGTCAAAATCGTTGAACAAGCTACATTGCACTGGCATGTTCACGTGCATCTCACATGCCAAGCGTCATGCATCTCACATGCCAAGCGTCATGCATCTCACATGCCAAGCGTCATGCATCTCACATGTCAAGTGCCATGCATCTCACATGCCAAGTGCCATGCATCTCACATGCCAAGCGACATGCATCTCACATGCCAAGCCTCATGCATCTCACATGTCAAGCACCATGCATCTCACATGCCAAGTGCCATGCATCTCACATGCCAAGTGCCATGCATCTCACATGCCAAGCGCCATGCATCTCACATGCCAAGCGCCATGCATCTCACATGCCAAGAGTCATGTCTGACAGCACTCCCGATGTCTGGGCCACGTCATTAGCCTGCATGGAGGGAGGGATGTATGGAATGCAGCAACACACAGAGAGGTGGCCTCTCACGCGACTACAGCCTTATGAAGGTGGGATGGGTACATGAACTTGTGCACATGCATATTGTACTCAAGGTCCCGTGCTGCAAAAAAGAGCGCACAAGGTGTGAGGTGCATGAGATCACTCAGACTCTTTTGTCATCCCATGGCACACCACACCCGCGCACAATCTAGCATGGCGCATTGTGGCTGCATGGAATGGCATGGCATGGCATGGAATGGAATGCCCTTGACCCCATGTCACAGCATGCCCTTGACCCCATGACATGGCACAGCATGGCGTGCATGCGACGTGGTGCAGCATGCGCACATACCACGAAGAAGGCCATGTAGGAGGCGGTGAGGCTGATGGTGATCTCGATCACGTGATCGCTGAAGACGGTGCGCAGCCACAGCAGACTCACTATCCCGAACGCCATTCCCAGCCCCACCCTGTGCCACGTGCACAACAGACCAGAGCCATGGCAGCACAGCGAGGAGCAGGGGGGAAACGGGACAAACCGCACATAAGACCCGTGAGGACGGATGACAGAGGTAAACGAGATGTGTCACCAAACGCTGGCACGTGTGTGAGCACAGGCTGCCACGTGGCACTCACTCACCCGCCGAGCGTGACCTTGAAGAGGAAGCCGATGACATCCCCGATGCCGTAGCTGTAGCCTAGAGTGAGGCGCAGGAACAGCTGGAACACCACTATCGCCGTGCTGTGGCGCAGAGGCAGGGGCACAGATGCACAGGACAGGACAGGATGCGGGAGTTGATGCAGGATGATGAACGCGGGCGTGCATATCGTGTAAAAGCACGTCAACCGCGACCACAGCATTCTTCGTCCACCAACCCATCATTCACCCAAACCCCTCATCCCTCACCCTCACCCTCACCCCGGGCCCCTCACCCGTCGTTCATGAGAGCCTCCCCGTCAATGATGGTGCTGAGCTTCTTGGAAGCGCCCAGGTCGCGCAGCAGCGCCACCACGGCCACGGGATCTGTGGCGCTGAGCAGCCCGCCCAGCAGCATGGCCGTGCTCCAGTTCCACCCGTACGGCAGCACGTACTGCCATGCCACGCCACGCGATGCAGCATGTGGGTGGAGAATAACAAGGTCAGGGCGAGGATAGAGGAGCGCCCTCACCTCGGCATCACAGTGACTTAGGTCAGACGAATGTTAAAGGGTACATGACAATTTCGTCCCCCCCCTCATCTTTCGAGCTGTGTGCTTGCTTACCCGGCTGATGAGTCCGAGGAAGCCAGTGGAGATGGCCACGCCCGGCACTGCCAGCAGAAACATCTGCACCAGACACCGCTGCTCTTGTGGCGAAATGGGGAGCGTGGGGAACGTGGGTATCACAAAGGAAGATTCATGGGAGTGAGGATGCAAGGAAACCAGCAGGGAGTAGGGGTGTGCGGGAGACAGGGTAAAGCACTCATACAATGATTTCCTTGCTGAAGCAACGTGAGGTGCAAGCAAGGCACGGTTGACTGACCTTGACTTGGTGGAACTCGAAGGAAAAGGCGCTTTCGAATAGCAGCGCGGGCAGAAAGACATAGAGCACCAGTTCCGGATCAATGTTGGCCCCTGCAAGCACGCAGACACGCAGGGACGCGTGGCCACGGACACAGCACAAGTTTGTCTGACTGGAACCCTTCACGAGACAAGGAAGTGGGGAGTTTTGCGATATAACGTCAGGAAGATGTCAAACAGTAGGAAACCGAGGCGGCTTTGTAGAAAGGCGTGCGAATGCGATGGTCCGGGTTCATGAAGCGTACACATCCGAATGCTCTCCCCCAGCAATCCCAGGTTGACATAATACTCTGCAAAAGCACCACCACGTGCAGAAACACAGGTCAACAACGAGCCACACAGATGGAAGCAACTCCTCGTCATAAGCAGTCTGCGAAAGCTGATGATACGATTACACTAGACTCCGTAAAAGCAAAGGGCTCGATATTGCCGCGGTAACTAGAAAATGGCTTGTCACCGTGATCGTATGGAACGACTCCCTGGCCTACCTAGCGCGCCGAGCCCGACGCCGACGAGCAGCAGCGCGACGGTGTACGGGATGCGCGTGTTGCTCAGCACCTGCCGGCACAGCGCGCCGAGCGCCAGCGACACACCGATGAACACGAGCGCTACCTCGGGCCCCGCGGTATGCGCCGGCTCCTGCGGCTGGGTGTCGCTGCTAGTCGTCATGATCGCCTCTGAGCGCGCGGGGGGTAAGCCCCTGATGAAACGAAGAGCAAAGGAAGGAATGGATGCAGGCGGTGATTTGCTAGCTAGCAATGAGGGGGAGGCATGCCGGATGCCCTTCTGCTCTGCTCATCAATTCCCCTCGGTATTGCCCGCAGCTGTGCCTCCCCCGCTCGCCTCGCACAAAAGATTCTGACTGAACAAGATGCTTCCAAGGTTACAGCTCCCTGAAATATCACTTCAAGATATTGCGTACACTGTAGTGCTGTACACTTCTCCCAATCAGGGTTGTCTTCCTCAAAATGCTCTTCACCACCCAGCCAGCCCTACCACCAGACCAAACTACACCCTAAGGGGACAAGAAAAACAGCATCTGAATGGAAAACTGGAAGAAAAACAACACTACATTCTTGGCGTATGCTGTGATCGCGTATTCCACCATTTGAATTACTGAAAGGTCTGGTGGGTGGTTCTTGGTTGGCTAGTGGTACATGACTCTGGGTTGCTAGGTGTTGTCAGTTAATGGGTGCTTTCCAGGTTGATGGGCATTTCAGGTTGGTTACTTTCTGCTCATCCATGTATATTGGGTTGAACCCAGAAGCTGGGCAGACAAATTCCAATGCTTTCATTGCCAAGGAGCTACAGCTCATACACATTACATTACGCACACCTAGGATAAACCATGGCAAGTCTACAACACTGCATCTGCATCACCCAGACGCACCAAACCATCCTACGTGCTCGTACTGGTATTCGAGCCCTCGCTCTCGCCATCCTCTTTGCCCTCCTGTGCCTCACCGGTGCTGGGCCACAGGTCACCCCACCGCACCTTGCGTGCAAACCGGTACTCCACGCGCCCAGCCGCCTTGGAGAAGAGCAGCCGCTGCAGCTCACCCCGCCGCCCGCGCCCGTCCACCGAAGCACACACGTCCACTATCACGTGCTGCCCCCGCCGCCTCGGCTCGCGAATCACGCGGCTCCACTCGGAACTCAGATTCGCAAAGCGGTCGCCACGTGGCGGGTTGTCAGTGGCTAATGTGGGATCCACCGTATCATCATCCAAGTCAGAATCATCATCACCATAATCACTGCCACTGTCACCAACATCGCCTTCCATCTCCCCACCCTCTTCGCCTGCAGAGCTGACGGGAGTGTGTTTTGGTCGAACATCCGCCTCCTCATCCTCATCTTCATCCTCATCCTCATCCTCCTCTTCCTCCTCCGCCTCCTCCTCTGGTTGCACCCCTCCCTCACCTGCACCCTTCGCCCCTTGCCCTTCCCCTTGCAGCGGTGCGACCCCCTCTGCTGCCACTGGTCCCTCGTCCAGGGGGATGAGCCGCACTGTCGGCCCCCACTTGGCTGGAGGGGACAGAGCAGGGGCGCACCAAGGAGGGGTGGGGGAGAACACCGAGGAGGATGGAACAGGAATGGCAAGCAGCAGGCATGCGCAAGTTGACACGATCAAACCTGTGCTGTGGGATGGGCTTGATGGGTGGGGCATGGGCCTTGCTGTCCGCATGGCCACCACAGATCCTCACACGCACACAGTGAGGGCATACAGTTACCTCAAACGCTCCACAGCTCAACGGCTCAACCCCTCCCCTCACCTTGCTTCTTGGCCAGGCGCTTGGCCTCCTTCTCTGCCTCCTCCCTCGCCTGCCTCTCCTTCTCCTCCCGCCGGAACTCCGCTATCTGCTGCAATGGCGCCACCACCCTGCGGCTCTCAACCAGGGGAAAAGGGGAGGATGAGAATTGAGGCACGACACGCAAATGCCACCCCTTGAAGGCGTTGGAAGTGCCAGCGCCAAATCAAACGAGCTTGGCATCACGAGTCCCCTCAGTGACTCACCCAGGTCACAGTGCCTCGCCCCACCCACTCACTCGGGCCTTGCCTCGCCCCACCCACTCACTCGGGCCTTGCCTTGCCCCACCCACTCACTCGGGCCTTGCCTTGCCCCACCCACTCACTCGGGCCTTGCCTTGCCCCACCCACTCACTCGGGCCTTGCCTCGCCCCACCCACTCACTCGGGCCTTGCCTCGCCCCACCCACTCACTCGAGCCTTGCCTCGCCCCACACACTCACTCGGGCCTTGCCTCGCCCCACCCACTCACTCGGGCCTTGCCTTGCCCCACCCACTCACTCGGGCCTTGCCTCGCCCCACACACTCACTCGGGCCTTGCCTCGCCCCACCCACTCACTCGGGTCGAGGTCCCCTGCGCAGCACCACATAGGAGAACTTCTCCTCCTCCGTACTCCCGGTTATCTCCTGCCCCGCTGCCCTCTGCCGCGGGTGAAGGAGCGAGAGGGGCGGTGAGGCGAGGGAGAGCGAAAGGCATGATAGTGAAGGGTGTGCCCACATGACGCAAGGATTGATAGAGAATGCCGGGCGAGGGACAAGGGGGGAGTGAAGTAGCATGGCCAAGTGGATGGAAGTGTGCCCTTGCTACTCGTACAAGGGGCACGAGGAGCAGCGGAAGAGCAGAGCACATGGCAGCACGGCAGAGCGCCATACCTTGGCAATGCGCTGCACGGCAGAGCGCTGCAGCGTCTGGGAGAAGTGGCACCAGCTGCTCGTGCCGTACATGGGGCAGTGGCCGTCATGTGCACACTGGGGGGGAAGGCGGGGGTGGGGAGAGAGGAGGAGGGAGATTTGGCAGGCGGAAAAGTGCTTATCAAAGACAGGTGGCACCAGCTGCTCGTGCCGTACATGGGGCAGTGCCCGTCGTGTGCACACTGGGGGGCGAGGGCGGGAGGTGGGAGGCGAAGGTTGCGTTTTGAGAGTGCAAGAGATGGATGATGTGATTTGTGGCACGGAGGAGGTGGAAACAAGCAGAAGGAAGGGATGCTGCAGAGGCCATGTGGTGGAAGTGAGAGAGCAGCAGAGGACGTGAGACGGAAGTGGGAAGAGAGAAGAGCGAGGGGCTCGGGGGGGGAGAGGTGGCACTTACAGGGGCGAGCACGTGAGCACCGGGCGGCAGAAGGGGTTTGGAGGGGTGCGGGGCGTTCTTGCTGGGACCCCTATCAGCCAGTCGAGCTGCCTTCTGGTTCATGTGGGAGGGGCGAGGGGGCATGGGGTGAGCAGGCCGAGTGGAGGCAAGGCAAGGAGAGTGCAGGAGAGAGCACAGGAGGACGGAGAGAAGAAGCACACAGATGCACAAGAGGATCAGCTGGGTATGAAAGGCGAGACTGGCTCGAGGAAGGGAAGAGGGACCATAGGAGTCCAAAAGGGGTCCCTGGGAATCTCTGGGAGTCTCTGGGGGTCCGTGGGGGGTCGCTGCACCGCCCGCTCATACGCTGCACCGCACGCTCATGCGCTGCACCGCCTGCTCATACGCTGCCCCGCCACCCGCTCATACGCTGCACAGCACGCTCATACGCAGCACCGCACGCTCATGCGCTGCACCGCCCGCTCATGCGCTGCACCGCCCGCTCATGCGCTGCACCGCCCGCTCATACGCTGCACCTCACGCTCATACGCTGCACCGCACGCTCATGCGCTGCACCGCCCGCTCATGCGCTGCACCGCCCGCTCATGCGCTGCACCGCCCGCTCATACGCTGCACCGCACGCTCATACGCTGCACCGCCCGCTCATGCGCTGCACCGCCCGCACATACGCTGCACCGCCAGATCATACACTGCACCGCCCGCTCATACGCTGCACCACACGCTCATGCGCTGCACCGCCCGCTCATGCGCTGCACCGCCCGCTCATACGCTGCACCGCCCGCTCATACCGCTGCACCGCACGCTCATGCGCTGCACCGCCCGCTCATGCGCTGCACCGCACGCTCATACGCTGCCCCGCCCGCACATACGCTGCACCGCCCGCTCATGCGCTGCACCGCCCGCTCATACGCTGCCCCGCCCGCACATACGCTGCACCGCCCGCTCATACGCAGCACCGCACGCTCATACGCTGCACCGCACGCTCATGCGCTGCACAGCACGCTCATACGCTGCACCGCACGCTCATGCGCTGCACCGCATGCTCATACGCTGCACCCCACGCTCATACGCTGCACCGCCCGCTCATACGCTGCACCGCACGCTCATACGCTGCACCGCCCGCTCATACGCTGCACCGCACGCTCATACGCTGCACCGCACGCTCATACGCTGCACCGCACGCTCATACGCTGCACCGCACGCTCATACGCTGCACGGCCCCCTCATACGCTGCACCGCACGCTCATACATTGCACCGCCCGCTCATACGCTGCACCGCACGCTCATACGCTGCACCGCACGCTCATACGCTGCACCGCCAGCTCATACGCTGCACCGCACGCTCATACGCTGCACCGCCCGCTCATACGCTGCACCGCCCACTCATACGCTGCACCGCCCGCTCATACGCTGCACCGCACGCTCATACGCTGCACCGCACGCTCATACGCTGCACGGCCCCCTCATACGCTGCACCGCACGCTCATACGTTGCACCGCCCGCTCATACGCTGCACCGCACGCTCATACGCTGCACCGCACGCTCATGCGCTGCACAGCCCGCTCATACGCTGCCCCGCCCGCACATACGCTGCACCGCCCGCTCATGCGCTGCACCGCCCGCTCATACGCAGCACCGCACGCTCATACGCTGCACCGCACGCTCATGCGCTGCACCGCATGGTCATACGCTGCACCCCACGCTCATACGCTGCACCGCCCGCTCATGCGCTGCACCGCACGCTCATGCGCTGCACCGCCCGCTCATACGCTGCACCGCCCGCTCATACGCTGCACCGCCCGCTCATACGCTGCACCGCACGCCCATACGCTGCACCGCACACTCATACGCTGCACCGCACGCTCATACGCTGCACCGCACGCTCATACGCTGCACCGCACGCTCATACGCAGCACCGCACGCTCATACGCTGCACCGCACGCTCATACGCTGCACGGCCCCCTCATACGCTGCACCGCACGCTCATACATTGCACCGCCCGCTCATACGCTGCACCGCACGCTCATACGCTGCACCGCACGCTCATACGCTGCACCGCACGCTCATACGCTGCACCGCACGCTCATACGCTGCACCGCACGCTCATACGCTGCACCGCCCGCTCATACGCTGCACCGCCCGCTCATACGCTGCACCGCACGCCAATACGCTGCACCGCACGCTCATACGCTGCACCGCACGCTCATACGCTGCACCGCACGCTCATACGCTGCACCGCACGCTCATACGCTGCACGGCCCCCTCATACGCTGCACCGCACGCTCATACGTTGCACCGCCCGCTCATACGCTGCACCGCACGCTCATACGCTGCACCGCACGCTCATACGCTGCACCGCACGCTCATACGCTGCACCGCCCGCTCATACGCTGCACCGCCCGCTCATACGCTGCACCGCACACTCATACGCTGCACCGCACGCTCATACGCTGCACCGCACGCTCATACGCTGCACCGAACGCACATACGCTGCACCGCCCGCACATACGCTGCACCGCCCACACATACGCTGCACCGCCCCCTCATACGTTGCACCACACGCTCATACGCTGCACCGCCCGCTCATACCGCTGCACCGCCCGCCCATACGCTGCACCGCACGCTCATACGCGGCACCGCCAGCTCATACGCTGCACCGCCCGCTCATACCGCTGCACCGCCCGCTCATTCGCTGCACCGCCCGCTCATACGCTGCACCGCCCGCTCTTACGCTTCACCGCCCGCTCATACGCTGCACCGCACGCTCATACGCTGCACCGCCCGCTCATACGCTGCACCGCCCGCTCATACGCTGCCCCGCACGCTCATACGCTGCACTGCCCGCTCATACGCTGCACCGCCCGCTCATACGCTGCACCGCCGGCTCATACCGCTGCACCGCCCGCTCATACGCTGCACCGCACGCTCATACGCTACACCGCCAGCTCATACGCTGCACCGCCCGCTCATACCGCTGCACCGCCCGCTCATTCGCTGCACCGCCCACTCATACGCTGCACCGCCCGCTCTTACGCTTCCCCGCCCACTCATACGCTGCACCGCACGCTCATACGCTGCACCGCCCGCTCATACGCTGCACCGCCCGCTCATACGCTGCCCCGCACGCTCATACGCTGCACCGCCCGCTCATACGCTGCACCGCCCGCTCATACGCTGCACCGCACGCTCATACGCTGCACCGCCAGCTCATACACTGCACCGCACGCTCATACGCTGCACCGCCAGCTCATACGTTGCACCGCCCGCTCATACCGCTGCACCGCCCGCTCATTCGCTGCACCGCCCGCTCATACGCTGCACCGCCCGCTCTTACGCTTCACCGCCCGCTCATACGCTGCACCGCACGCTCATACGCTGCACCGCCCGCTCATACGCTGCACCGAACGCACATACGCTGCACCGCCCGCACATACGCTGCACCGCCCACACATACGCTGCACCGCCCCCTCATACGTTGCACCGCACGCTCATACGCTGCACCGCCCGCTCATACCGCTGCACCGCCCGCTCATACCGCTGCACCGCCCGCCCATACGCTGCACCGCACGCTCATACGCGGCACCGCCAGCTCATACGCTGCACCGCCCGCTCATACCGCTGCACCGCCCGCTCATTCGCTGCACCGCCCGCTCATACGCTGCACCGCCCGCTCTTACGCTTCACCGCCCGCTCATACGCTGCACCGCACGCTCATACGCTGCACCGCCCGCTCATACGCTGCACCGCCCGCTCATACGCTGCCCCGCACGCTCATACGCTGCACTGCCCGCTCATACGCTGCACCGCCCGCTCATACGCTGCACCGCCGGCTCATACCGCTGCACCGCCCGCTCATACGCTGCACCGCACGCTCATACGCTACACCGCCAGCTCATACGCTGCACCGCCCGCTCATACCGCTGCACCGCCCGCTCATTCGCTGCACCGCCCACTCATACGCTGCACCGCCCGCTCTTACGCTTCCCCGCCCACTCATACGCTGCACCGCACGCTCATACGCTGCACCGCCCGCTCATACGCTGCACCGCCCGCTCATACGCTGCCCCGCACGCTCATACGCTGCACCGCCCGCTCATACGCTGCACCGCCCGCTCATACGCTGCACCGCACGCTCATACGCTGCACCGCCAGCTCATACGCTGCACCGCACGCTCATACGCTGCACCGCCAGCTCATACGTTGCACCGCCCGCTCATACCGCTGCACCGCCCGCTCATTCGCTGCACCGCCCGCTCATACGCTGCACCGCCCGCTCTTACGCTTCACCGCCCGCTCATACGCTGCACCGCACGCTCATACGCTGCACCGCCCGCTCATACGCTGCACCGAACGCACATACGCTGCACCGCCCGCACATACGCTGCACCGCCCACACATACGCTGCACCGCCCCCTCATACGTTGCACCGCACGCTCATACGCTGCACCGCCCGCTCATACCGCTGCACCGCCCGCTCATACCGCTGCACCGCCCGCCCATACGCTGCACCGCACGCTCATACGCGGCACCGCCAGCTCATACGCTGCACCGCCCGCTCATACCGCTGCACCGCCCGCTCATTCGCTGCACCGCCCGCTCATACGCTGCACCGCCCGCTCTTACGCTTCACCGCCCGCTCATACGCTGCACCGCACGCTCATACGCTGCACCGCCCGCTCATACGCTGCACCGCCCGCTCATACGCTGCCCCGCACGCTCATACGCTGCACTGCCCGCTCATACGCTGCACGGCCCCCTCATACGCTGCACCGCACGCTCATACAATGCACCGCCCGCTCATACGCTGCACCGCACGCTCATACGCTGCACCGCACGCTCATACGCTGCACCGCACGCTCATACGCTGCACCGCACGCTCATACGCTGCACCGCCCGCTCATACGCTGCACCGCCCGCTCATACGCTGCACCGCCCGCTCATACGCTGCACCGCACGCCCATACGCTGCACCGCACGCTCATACGCTGCACCGCACGCTCATACGCTGCACCGCACGCTCATACGCTGCACGGCCCCCTCATACGCTGCACCGCACGCTCATACGTTGCACCGCCCGCTCATACGCTGCACCGCACGCTCATACGCTGCACCGCACGCTCATACGCTGCACCGCATGCTCATACGCTGCACCGCACGCTCATACGCTGCACCGCCCGCTCATACGCTGCACCGCCCGCTCATACGCTGCACCGCACACTCATACGCTGCACCGCACGCTCATACGCTGCACCGCACGCTCATACGCTGCACCGAACGCACATACGCTGCACCGCCCGCACATACGCTGCACCGCCCACACATACGCTGCACCGCCCCCTCATACGTTGCACCGCACGCTCATACGCTGCACCGCCCGCTCATACCGCTGCACCGCCCGCCCATACGCTGCACCGCACGCTCATACGCGGCACCGCCAGCTCATACGCTGCACCGCCCGCTCATACCGCTGCACCGCCCGCTCATTCGCTGCACCGCCCGCTCATACGCTGCACCGCCCGCTCTTACGCTTCACCGCCCGCTCATACGCTGCACCGCACGCTCATACGCTGCACCGCCCGCTCATACGCTGCACCGCCCGCTCATACGCTGCCCCGCACGCTCATACGCTGCACTGCCCGCTCATACGCTGCACCGCCCGCTCATACGCTGCACCGCCGGCTCATACCGCTGCACCGCCCGCTCATACGCTGCACCGCACGCTCATACGCTACACCGCCAGCTCATACGCTGTACCGCCCGCTCATACCGCTGCACCGCCCGCTCATTCGCTGCACCGCCCACTCATACGCTGCACCGCCCGCTCTTACGCTTCCCCGCCCACTCATACGCTGCACCGCACGCTCATACGCTGCACCGCCCGCTCATACGCTGCACCGCCCGCTCATACGCTGCCCCGCACGCTCATACGCTGCACCGCCCGCTCATACGCTGCACCGCCCGCTCATACGCTGCACCGCACGCTCATACGCTGCACCGCCAGCTCATACGCTGCACCGCACGCTCATACGCTGCACCGCCAGCTCATACGTTGCACCGCCCGCTCATACCGCTGCACCGCCCGCTCATTCGCTGCACCGCCCGCTCATACGCTGCACCGCCCGCTCTTACGCTTCACCGCCCGCTCATACGCTGCACCGCACGCTCATACGCTGCACCGCCCGCTCATACGCTGCACCGCCCGCTCATACGCTGCCCCGCACGCTCATACGCTGCACCGCCCGCTCATACGCTGCACCGCCCGCTCATACGCTGCACCGCCCGCTCATACGCTGCACCGCCCGCTCATACCGCTGCACCGCCCGCTCATACGCTGCACCGCACGCTCATACGCTACACCGCCAGCTCATACGCTGCACCGCCCGCTCATACCGCTGCACCGCCCGCTCATTCGCTGCACCGCCCGCTCATACGCTGCACCGCCCGCTCTTACGCTTCACCGCCCGCTCATACGCTGCACCGCACGCTCATAGGCTGCATCGCCCGCTCATACGCTGCACCGCCCGCTCATACGCTGCACCGCCCGCTCATACGCTGCACCGCACGCTCATACGCTGCACCGCCAGCTCATACGCTGCACCGCCAGCTCAACGCTACACCGCCAGCTCATACGCTGCACAGCCAGATAGAAAAGGGCGTCGTATGATACATGTGCTCACCGCTCTCTGTGTGTGCAGTACGTGTGCTCACCGCTCTCTGTGTGTGCAGTACGTGTGCTCACCGCTCTCTGTGTGTGCAGTACGTGTGATCACCGCTCTCTGTGTGTGCAGTACGTGTGCTCACCGCTCTCTGTGTGTGCAGTACGTGTGCTCACCGCTCTCTGTGTGTGCAGTACGTGTGCTCACTGCCCTCTGTGTGTGCAGTACGTGTGCTCACCGCTCTCTGTGTGTGCAGTACGTGTGCTCACCGCTCTCTGTGTGTGCAGTATGTGCGCCCTGGCCTTGACTATGGCCTCATAACCGCGTGGGTTGCCTGTCTCCACCAGCACCTGCGCTCCCACACACGCACGCATACGTGGGAGAAGTGACGAGATGAGAAGAGATGAGAGAAGGGAGGACGATGCGGTTTTGAGACGTCTCAAAACTCATAACCGCGTGGGTTGCCTGTTTCCACCAGCACCTGCGCTCCCACACACGCACAGGTGGGAGACGTGAAGCGAGGAGAAGGCATGAGAAGAGATGAGACAAAGTAGGGAGGACGATGTGGTCGGAGAGGCGGGCAGGAGCATGCATCTCATGCCATGGTACCACATCACCACATGCCATCACAACATCACATCACATACCATCACATACCATCACACACCATCACATGCCACCACCACATGCCATCACATGCCACCACATGCCATCACATGCCACCACATGCCACCACATGCCATCACATGCCACCACATGCCATCACATGCCATCACATGCCATCACATGCCATCACATGCCACCACGTCACCACATGCCATCACATGCCATCACATGCCACCACGTCACCACATGCCATGCCATACCATGACATGGCGGGCATGGCTCCAGAGGCGGTCCACAATGGCGCGCCTCTCATCCAATGATTCCACCTCGCCAAGTGCATACGCCTGCCACATGGGAGAAGTAGGGGAAGGGTGAGGGTGGGAGCGGTACGAGTAACATGCAGCTGGGAACTTGGGACTCGAAAGTGACGCCGCAGCCAGCCAGGCAGTGCCCGCACTGAGTTCACTTCGCCCACATATGCCTTCCTCATGGGAGACTGGGGTGAGGGTGGGTGGGGGGAGAGAGAAGGGGCAGCAGAACGATGGGAGAGATTTGCACTCGGGGGACGGTACTGCAATGAGGAAGACAGGTGCTTCGGAAAAAAAGAACCACACATCACATCTCGACTCCACACCGATCACAGCAATGGGTAGGGTACAGGGAGCAACCCAACGGATTCCCCACCCACACTCACCGCCACCACAACATCAAACACCCTGTCGGCGCCTCGTGCCTCCCTTGACAGGTGCTGCAGGCTGGTGTATCGCTCCACCTCCGGCAGCGCACGTGGGGGCTTGGGAGCCGCCGCTGCCACTGGTGGGGCGAGACAGGGCGAGGGGAGAATGGGAAGGCAAAGGTGCCCTTGAGAGGTGCTGCAGGGTGGTGTATCGCTCCACTGGGGGCAGCGCACGTGGGGGCCTGGGACCCGCTGCCGCCACTGGCAGGGGGAGACGGGAAGAGGAGGGGTGGGGAGGGTAGGGGTAGGGAGGAAGGGATGGGGAGGGGAAGGAGAGAAGGTTGGCGCAGGCAGCACACGCGGGGGCGTGGGACCCGCTTCTGACACTGAGGGGGAAGGCAGGGACAGGAGGGTTGGAGCAGGATGGGAAAGGGGGGGGATGTGGAGGGGAGGGGGCCCAAGGGGGACGGGAAAGGGTAGGAGAGAGGGGCGGGTTAGCAGGGCGCACGGCTGAGGGCCGACCTGTAGCGGTAGGGTGGTGAGGCAAGGCAGGTGTGTGGATGGGCAGTAAGGATGGAGCAAGGCAAGGCAGTGATGAGACATGCTGCAAGTGTCGCAGTCCCATCAACAATTTCACAATGTTTCCCCCCTACGCACCCCCTCACCTGCCCTCACCTGCCCACACCTGCGCTCACCTGCCCTGATGTGCTCCCCCATGGCCCACATGGCATCAGCGGGCTCCACTGCTGCCGCCCTCTGCACCGTGCTCCCCCACACCTCACTGGCCGCCCTGCACGCACACGGTGAGGGGTTGGAGAGTAGGGCAGGCAGGGCAACAGAGGAGAGACAGCCTAGCTGTGCTGCCTGCCCCACCTCAGTGGCTGACGCACAGGGAGGGCAGCACAGCAGCACATGCCGCACACACCACACAGACCCCCAAGGCGGGTGCAGCCAGCAATGGGTGTTTCTATCGGCAGCGCTGCAATGACTCCTGAGTGCGAGCACGTGGGAGGGCTGGCTTCCCACCACATCTCACCGCATCTCACCACATCACGGTGCCAGGCCCGGATCCAAAGTCCAGCAGGGAGGAGGGCGCGAGGGAGGGCAGCCGCCGCTTCACCTGCCGCCAGTGGGAGTGGCAGGGAGGGGCGGGAGGGGCGGGAGGGCAGGGAGGGAGGGGCAGAGGGACGAAGGATAGGATGAGGGTTGAATGGGGAAAGGAGGGAATACAGCACGGTGGAGTAAGCTCTGTGTGTGAGACACAGCGGGTTGGGTGGCGCACTTGGTGCGTCAGTCAGACACAGTAGGTGGGTGCGAGCACCCGATAAACCGCACCCCTTCTCCCCGGTCAGCACATCCCAAGCGTGTCCCGCCTCCCCACCTCAGTGAGAGCACGGAAGACGGCGGCATAGGTGGAGGGCATGCGCGCAGCCGCGTACGCCAGAGCCTCCGTCTCCCCATACTCCACCGCGCGCCTCCCCCCCTCCCCCCGCTCTCGCGCCCCCCCTTTCCCCCTCTCCGCCGCTTCCCCCGCGCCCCCTTCCCCGCCCTCCTCCGCGCCCTTCCCCCACGAGTTCTTCTCCCATCCGCGCAGGAGCCGCACCATCCGCGCGTCCGGAATGCGCCCCACGTCCATTTCGCGCATCAGCGGCGGCTCCCGCGTGTCGTCCGCCAGGCGCTCCGCAGACGGCTGCGGCCACCCGCTGAAGAACGCGTCGTAGGCGGACATCAGCCGGCGCACGTCGCGGTGCACGTGCGCGGAACTGGTTGCGCCTGGGGAGGCGGAAGCGTTGCAGGGAGACGGGAGAACAGGGGGCGGGGCTGGATTGACTGCGGAAGGCGTTGGGGGAAGGGAAGGCGGAAAGGAGGATGCTTTCTGGGAAGAGAGCAGCGGGAGACGCCGGATCGTGACGTCATGAAGCGAGAATGCGCGTCGCGACCTGGGCTGTAACTACCTTCCGCGATTATGGCTTTAATCGACTGCTGTAGCGAGTTCGGCAGGCAGACCTGTCCGATCTCCACCAAGCCTCGATTCCGAAGCACACGTTCGGGTTGCCGAGCCACGGCGAGCTGCTGCGCCTCCAGCAGCCCCGGCATCAGCATCGGCCCCTTCCGCTTCTTCCACGCCGCGCGCGTTGCGCGGAACGCGCCGCCCCACGCGGCCATTCCGCCGACCGCCCTCCCGAGTCTTGCTTCGGGGATCCTACAAACTGTCAAATCGCGTGTGTACTTTCTGCCAATTGGGTGCAAAAGGCGGCTGGAGCTCGATCTTGAAGCCTGGTCCGATTCAAGGATTTATTGCGATACTGGTGCCTCGATAATGCATTGCGTGCGTAACATTTCAGCAACTATTCAATAGAATCAAGAAAACATTTTCAACTACATAATATATATAGAGGACGAGAATTGGAGGAATTGACACAGCTTGTACGGAACAAAGCGTTATTTACATGATCCATAAGCCGCAAAGACAATGCCATTCACCCTAACATCCGTGCAGAATCAGGACTGGGCCGCCTTGGCTCGCAGCAAAGTTTCCACGACTCGGCTCATCTTGTCCCAGGCGATGGGCTTGCTGAGGAAGCCGTCCATCCCCGCCGCCTCTATCTCCGGCGCCAACACGTCCGCTGTCAACGCGTACACTGGAATGCGCGCCTCCCTTCCTGGCAGCTTCCTGATCTCACGTGTCGCTGTCAAGCCATCCTGGATGGTGGGGTGAGGGGGTACAAGGGAGAGGAGAGGGGAGGCTGGCAGACGAGTGATATGCCCAGCAATGGACATGTAGCATGCATGACACATTGGGCTAATGCATGTGGCGTGTGTGGAACCACTCACCATCATGTGATCCTATACGCCCATAGCTCACCATAATGGGCATCTGAATATCCATGAGAACAAGGTCGAATGGCTTTGCTTGCACTGCCTCCACTGCCAGCCGCCCGTTGAGCACCAGTGTCACCTGCCATGCCATGCCGTGCCATGCCATGCCATGCCATGCCATACCATACCATACCATACCATACCATACCATAGCATAGCATAGCATACCATACCATACCATACCATACCATACCATACCATACCATACCATACCATACCATACCATACCATGCCATACCATGCCATGCCGTGCCATGCCATGTCATGCCATGCCGTGCCATGCCATGCCATGCCGTGCCATGCCATGTCATGCCATGCCGTGCCATGCCATGCCATGCCATGCCGTGCCATGCCATGCCAGGGAGAGTGCCGTTGCAAAGTGGCAAAACAGTAACACCAGCAAATCAAATGATGCAAGCCGACCCTAGAAAGCTCTGCAATACTAAAGCCACATCGATTGGCCTCCCCTTAAAGGTCTCCGGTCTCCCGACAGTGATTCCCAGAAAACGCAAGCCATCCAGCAGCCCTCGTGCATAGCGCTGCACCCCTCAAGCTCATTTCGTGCCTGGCTCACCTCGTGCCCGTAGTGCTGCAGCATCTTGCGAATGAGCATCTGGTTCACCCTGTTGTCCTCCGCCACCAGCACCCGCAACTTGCCGCCGCCTCCCCCTTCTGCACCCGCCGCACCTCCTCCTGCTGCTGCAGCCGCACCTGCGCCACTCACTACTCCCCCAGACGCCCGTTTCCCCACCTCCACCCCCTTGCCTCCTTCTCCGCCTCCTGCCTATTCTCCCTCCCTGCCCTCTGCCTGCTCCTCTGCTTTCCCAGCCTTGCCACCCGAACCAACCACTCCACCAACCACCGCTCCTGCAGCAGCAGCAGAGCCTGCAGCAGCGGAGGCAGCAGCAGCAGCAGCAGGAGCAGCCTGCTTCTGCTGCTTGAGCTTGGCGTTTTTAGCGTGCAACAGCGAGCTTACGACGCGGCTCATCTTGTCCCAGGCGATGGGCTTGCTGAGGAAGCCGTCCATCCCCGCCGCCTCTATCTCCGGCACCAACACGTCCGCTGTCAATGCGTACACTGGGATGCGCGCCTCCTTTCCTGGCAGCTTCCTGATCTCGCGCGTCGCACTAAGCCCGTCCTGGGGAAGGCAGGTGGGAAGAGGAGCAGGGAGGCTTCAGAAAGACGGTGGAAGCAGAAAAAAGTGGAGAAATAGTGCGACGGACGGATGTCAAAAGTATAACGTGCTAAGTAGGTGGAGAAAGAGAAGTTCCAAGATCAAGCAGGGTACGCAGCAGCACGGCATGGCCCACTCACGAGCACGGGCATCTGCAGGTCCATGAGGACAAGGTCGAAAGATTCCTTCTGCACCGCGTCCACGGCCAGGCGTCCATTGCCCACCACCGTGACATCGTGCCCGTAGTGCTTCAGCAGGCGGCGAATCAGCAGCTGGTTCACCTTGTTGTCCTCCGCTACCAACACCCGTAGACTCTTGCACTCCTCCTCCTCCTCTTCCTCCTCCTCCTCGTCACCCTGCCCCTCCACCTCCCTTTTCACTTCCCGTTTCCCCTCTCTTCCACCCCCCTCGGCCCCCTCCACCTCCATTTTCGCTGATATCGCTTGCCTATCCTCCTCATCACCCTCCTTCCCCGCCTGCCCTCCGACCAGGCAAGGCGAGGGGGAGCGCCGGCCTGCCCCCAGGGGGGAGGCAGGGGGGCCGCCCTTGGCGGATGGGGGGAAGGGGGCGGACGCGGGGAGGAGAGGGATGAGGGCGAAGGCCTGGGTGCCTTTGGACGGCTGGGATTTGATCCAGAGGCGCCCGCCCATCAACGCCAGCAGCCCATGGCTGATGGCCAGCCCTAGGCCTGTGCCGCCCACTCCCCTGCACACACGGGGAGTGAGGGGGGAGAACAAGGAGGCAAAAAGGGAAAGGTGGGAGATTGCAGAGCAGATGCGGGGGGGGCACAAGGGGAGAGGGTCATGGACAACTGTGAGAAGCTCAAGCGCTGCCCCCAACCCATCTCCACACTCCACGCATTCCCCAGCCACGCTCCACCCTGGCCGCTTCCCCTTCCCTATTGGCCGACTCCCCCACTCACCCTCTCTGAGCGCCTGCCTGAGCCATGAAGAGCACCTGCTGCACCTCCTCCTCCGCCATGCCCTCCCCCTCGTCTGCCACACACACCTCGTACCACACCCGCTCCCTCTCCCCGACCCCCCGCCCCTTCCCCTCCCCTTCTCCTTCCTTCCCCTCCTCCTCTCCTTCCTTCCCCTGCTCCTCCCCCTCCTTAGCTTTCCCCCCTTGCTCCTCCTCCCCGTCCTGATCCTCTTCCTCCTCCATCTCCTCCCCCTCTCCACTCCTCTCCCCGTCCTCCTCTTCACTCCCCTCCCCCACCTCCTCCCCTCCATCCCCCTTTTCACCGCCCTCCTTCCCCCCAGTGCTGGCCCCAGTGTCCCCCCTCGCACTGCCGGAACACCCCCCATCACCCACAGCAGCCACCACCTCCCCTATAGTCACAACCGTCTCTGCTCCCCCGCTACTAACACCCCCACTACAAGCTCCCCGAGTAACATCTCCTTCCCCACGCCCCCTCCTGCTTGAATCACCCCCCTCGTGACCTTCACTCTCCTGCTTTCCCACCTCGTTCCCCTGAACCCAGGCAACGCTCCCCCCATCCTCCCCCTTGCCCCGTCTCCCCGCCTCCGCCACACCAGCAGACACATGCCTTCTGAGCGCGCGCTCCCTCTGCTGCACGCTCCTCCCCATCCGCCCCACCACCTCCGTCCTTGTTCCCCCCGCACTGCTCCTTCTCACCATCCCCCCTCCCCTCCGCACAATCACATCCCCCGACCCTCCCCTGAGCAGCCCCGCGCTCCCCACCCTCCCTCCCTCCCCCACCAAGTCTACCCCCTCACGCACGCCCGTGCCCATCAGCACAGACCCGTCCTGTACAACACCATCCGTTACAGTCACATCCTCAAAGCCATGCAGGCGCCCCACGGGCTGCTGCAGCGAGCGCAGCCACTGCTGGGCCTCTGAGCTCGCCCGCACACTCACCCTCCCCACGTCCTCCTCCCCCGCCGCCCGGCCCCCCTGCCACACCACGCGCAGCCGCGGGCTGGCTGGCGGGCGGAGAGAATGGGGGGACAGGGAGGTGGGGATGGGTGTGGGAGGGATTGCAGGGAAGCTGGGGGGGAGGTAAGTGGTGGGGGCAGGTGCTGCTGCTGAAGCAGCGGCGGCTGTAGCAGGAGTGGTGACTGTACCTGTGGCAGGTGCAGGGAGTATATCCCCACACAGCATCTCCACGTCAGCTGCCACGTCAGAGCCTGGTCTCTCATCCAGCACAACAACATCCGCCACGTCAGCAGACACGCTGCTGCCACCGGAGGGTCTGAGGGGACCAGAAACCGGCATGAAAGGTTCACCCAGCAGCATTGCCACGTCAGCAGCTGATTCAAGCACTCCTGCACCGTCCCTCTCTCCCACTCCTGCTCCCTCTCCCCCCATGCCTCCCCCCATGCCTCCCCTTCCCCCTCCCCCTGCACTCACCGCCCCCCCATCACACTCACCCATCCGCCCTCCTGCCCCACTCCCACTGCCCCAACTCCCACTCTGCACGCTCTGCCCCAAGCTCCCCCCTTTACTCAGGCTCGGCGCCGACCCTGCACCCATCCCCAAGCCTGCACCCATCCCCAAGCCTGCATCCATTGCCGAGCCTGCAGGCCCGTGCGTCCCCTGACCAGCTGGCAGCCGCCCTCCAGCCACACTGGCAGCAACATTTTCTAAGCCCAGCGGCCCACCTATAGCGCCCCCACAGGCAGCAGCAGCAGCAGCAGGCCCTCTTGGCAGGACACTGCCTGCTGCTGACGCCGACTCGAAGCTGGCCAGGTAGGGCGAGGGCATGGAAGCGAGGTGCGGGGGGAGGGAGGCGAGGTTCGGCGGGAGGGAGGGCGCGGAGTGCAGAGAAGGGCAGGGCGCGGGTTGCAGCATGCGGGTGAGGTCAGCGGAGCCGGACCCCCCAGAGGAGCCCTGCAGGCGGGTGACCCGTGTGCGGTGAGTCAGATCTGCTGACAGCCGCCTTGCCAGCAGCCGCGGCTGCTCCTGCCCTGCTGCTGCTGCCCCCGCGTGCCCGCTGCTGCTGCGCACGGGACTGGAGGGGAAGCCACCGGATGATGTGCCTTGATGCTGCGCTGAGGGCGCAGAGGAGAAGTTTCCTTCCTGGCCTGCAGACACGCTTCTGGGCACTCGCACTCCCTGCCTGCCTGCCCCCCCCCACCCTCCACTCGCTGCCTGCTTGCCCCGACCCTGCCTGGCGCCCTCGCTAGACCCCTCCCTGCTTTCCCCCCGCCCTCTCTTCCCCCTCCCCCACATCCGCCCGCGCTTGCTCTCCCCCCATCTCCCCCCGTCCGCCCCTTTCCCCTCTACCCCACTGGTGCTGCCAGGGGAGGTCAGCGTGCCTGCTGCCCCCGCTGTCTCCCCAGCCTCTACTGCCCCTGCTGCCCCTCCTGACCCTCCTACCCCTACTGCCTCTGCTGCCTCTGCAGTCTCTGGTGTGTCTGCAGCAGCAGTGCTATCATCTGCACGAACAGACAGCGACGCAGCAAGCGAGTGTGAGTGTGACTGTATCGAGTGACTGCCAGACTCCATTGGGCTCCTGCCTTCCCCCTCCTGCCCCAACTTCTGAGTCCCCTCCTGCCCCTCCCTCTCCTCCCCTTTCTCTCCCTCCTCTCCCTTCTGCCCCTCTTCCCCCGTCTCCGCTTCCACCTCCCCACTCTCTGTGCATTCCTGCTCCGCACTGTCACCATCAGCGCAACCAGAAGCAGAGGGGTCGGAAGCAGAGGGGTGGGGCACAATGCGCCAGGAGACGGTGATGGTGCCGCGCTTGGAGAACTTCACCGCGTTGCTCACCAGATTCGCCACCACCTGCCGTGCGTGTGCGTGGGCGGGGAGGGAGGGGGAAGGGGGCGGAGAGGGCGGAGCGGAGGGGAGGGAGTGGAAACAGTGAGGAGTTTGGAGCGGATGGGCTTGATGCCATGCAGAGGAGAGGTGAAATAAACAGAAAATTCTTGCAAAGATGCACGGACGCAGAATGGACGCGAGCATGCTATGCTGGCTGCAACAAATCATGTGCTTTGCTGTTGCCTTCATTTGCCTTGCTAGCAGCCTTCACCTGCCCGCCCCACCCACCTGCTTGACGCGCACGGGGTCACCACAGACGAAAAGAGCATCGGGGGGCGGTGGGTGGATGAGCAGGCGCATGCCCTTGTCCTGCACTGCCTGCTCGAACAGCACCACCACCTGCATGCATGGGCAAGGGGGAGAGGCGCGCAAGCAGGGGTGAGGTATGAGCGTCAGAGCACTAAGGGACTCAGGGCAACCAGACGCATGCCCTTGTCCTGCACTGCCTGCTCGAACAGCACCACCACCTGCATGCACTCAGCACAGCAGACAAAATCGCGGAAGCAAGAGGTGAGAGGAAAGGTAAGTTCCCATCGCCTCAGCACGGAATGGCCAGGCGCATGCCCCTATGCCCTTGTGGTGCACGGCCTGCTCACACAACACCAACGTGGCGCCACCTGCATGCACAGGTGCAGGCGAGAGAAGACAGGCGAGTTCCGAAGCACAGCACGTTGGGTTCATAGGAATAACCAGGCGCATGGGTCTTGATACAAATAATAAAGCAGAGCATTTTACACACACCACGGCATGGAGTGACTCGAGCATGCACCTGGTCCAGGAGGGCGGTGATGCTGAAGTCAATGGATTCGAGCAGCAGCCTGCCCGCCTCCATCTTGCAGAAGTCAAGGATGTTGTTCAGCACCGTCATCAGCCCGTCCGCTGACACTTGATTCACGTAATAAATCACATGGAGTGACTGGAGAACACACCTGGTCCAGGATGGCAGCAATGCTGAAGTCAATGGATTCGAGCAGCAGCCTGCCCGCCTCCATCTTGCAGAAGTCGAGGATGTTGTTCAGCACCGTCATCAACCCGTCCGCTGACGCCTGCATCAGCTTCAGCACACCGTGCTGCTCCTCACTCATCTCCGTCAGCCGCAGTAAGTCCAACATGCCCAGCACGCCTGAGGTGGTGGGGGGCGGTGAGGGAGGGTGGTGGGTGTTGAGACGTATCAAAGCTGTTCCTCACTCATCTCCGTCAGCCGCAGTAAGTCCAACATGCCCAGCACGCCTGCGACCGTGGGGGGGGGAGTGGGGAGGGGAGCGGGCAGTGGGGTCCAGCATGCCTAGGACGCCTGGAGTGGTGCAAAGGCGGGAGGGGGAGGCGGCGTCGTGGTGGTGGGAGGAGAAGAGCAAGCATGGCGTCACGGGGTGATGGGAAGGGAAGGAGAATGACAGCGACGATTCACCACACCCACACCCACACCCATATCCATCGACTCCCACCCGCCACTCCCACCCGTCCACACCATGCTGCACATCACACTTCCCCCCGCCCACCAGTCATGGGCGTCCTGAGCTCGTGGCTCATGGTGGCGAGGAACTGCGACTTGGCGCGGTTGGCGGCAGCAATGGCCTGGCGGGCGCGGCGGTCGGCAGTGACGTCTTCAAAGAGCCACAGGCGGCCGTGTGCCGAGGTGGTGTGCGCTGCCACGGGGTACGAGTGCACTCGCAGCACCATGGGTGGGTCCCGCAGCTCCCACTCCTCCTCTATCTCCGCCTCTACCGCCCCCGCTACCATGCTGAACCACCTGTGCGGGGGAAGGAGTGCGGGAGTGGAGAGGCGGGGAGGGGAGGGGGTTGAACGGAAACGGGTGGGTAACTGAGGGGCTGGTTGGATCAATCGACTCGCAGCGCAAGGGGAAAACACCAGATGGATTGCGAGACAACGTTATCCAGTCTGAAAGGAAAGAATGAAAGGGGGATGCTGTAGGGTGTGCGGTGCCGGCACTCGCCTGTGCAGGTCAGGGCGGTTACCGCTCCTCTCAGCCAGCTGGCGCATGGCAGTTGCGACCTTCACTGGGTCCACCTCCCCGAAGCACGGCAGATCCAGCAGATCCGCCGCTGCTGGGTTCACCACCACCTGGTGGGGGATGGGAGGGGGAAGAGAAAGAGAGATGGCGGCGGGAGGGTGGCAGGGAGGAGGATGGAGGGGATAAGGGACGCACGCGCACGAGCATAAGCATCTCCATGCACGCAGAATGGGCACACATGCACGCACTCACCTGTGCGAGCTCGTCGTCAACGAACACAACAGCCTGTGGCATGCGCTTCAGAATGGCATCAAACTGCTGCCCCAGGCGCGCGGACTGGCGGGCAGAGCACAGGCATGCACGGGCGTGCACAGAGAGGGGGCACACACCCACTCACCTGAGCCAGCTCATCGTCAACAAAAACCACAGCTTGAGGCATGCGCTTGAGGATGGCGTCAAACTGCTGCCCCAGGCGCGCTGACTGGCGGGCGGAGATGCGGTTGGCCATGAGCAGCGGCATCGTGTGTGCTGCACGTGCCATCACCTCCTCCACCGTTGCCGGCACCTTGGCCGGGTCGCTCCACAGTGCGTACAGCACGCCGCGGTAGCTGCTTGTGGGGGGAGAAGGGAGGGGGGGGGAGGGTGCGGTTGGCCATGAGCAGCGGCATTGTGTGCGCCGCGCGTGCCATCACCTCCTCCACTGTTGCTGGCACCTTGGCAGGGTCGCTCAATAACGCGTACAGCACGCCACGGTAGCTGCTTGGGGGGAGGGGGGGAAAGGGGAGGGGGGGGGGAAAAGGGGCAGAGATGCGGTTAGCCATGAGCAGCGGCATCGTGTGCGCCGCCCGCCCCATCACCTCCTCCACTGTTGGGGGGGGGCGAGGAGAAGGGGCCAGGAGGGAGGGAGGGGAAGGGAAGTGGAAGACGGCGTGGGGTGGGGGAAGCAGTGCGGCGGGGGCAGGTGAGAGCGGGAAGCGGGTCGTGCTTCGGAGGGCGAGCGAGCATGGAAGCAGGAGTGCAGGGCAGCGCACAGTGAGTGAGGGTACAACGGCCAGCAAGGGAGGTTCCCGACCCAATGAACCTTTGTGAGACGGGCCAATGCGACGCACCCACGTGTGCAGCCCAGCGGTAGTTAGTCACCCATGCACGCACCTGTGCAGGCGCACGAATCGGCCCATGAAGCGGCGGGGGCGGCAGCCCAGCACATCCTCTATGACCGCTGGCAGATGCAACCCCGCCGTACTCACCACCTGAAGGGGAGAGGTTGGTAATGGGCGCACGGGAGAGGGATGCGTGGGGGAATGGGCACATGAGGGGGATTGGTGGGACATGGGGACAGAGGGGGCTATGGGGGAGAGAATGGACGCAGGGGGTGCGGCATGAGAAGCATGATTACCTTGTGTCGCTTGCACGCCTTCATCATTACCTTGTGTCGCTTGCACGCCTTCATCATTACCTTGTGTCGCTTGCACGCCTTCATCATTACCTTGTGTCGCTTGCACGCTTTCATCATGCGCCTACAGAAGGGAACCATCTCCGGCACAACCCCCTTGGGCGTCGATAGGATCGACTCCGCCACCCGCACCACCTCCATTTCCTCCGCCCTCCCCCGCGCGCTCCCCCTCCCGCTCCCCCTCCCCCCTCCCGTTCCGCCTCCCTCGTCTCGGCTGTCACATCTCCCTGCGCCCTCTTGCCCACCTCTTCCCCTGCCAAGAAAGCCCGCTCCGCTGCGCCTCCCCATGCCCTCCCGGCTGCAGAACCCTCCGCTTTCCCCGTACCCGCTAACATCCCCTCCGCTACTGGCGCATGCGCCAAACTCTCCGGACCTGTCCGCGCTGGCTTCCGCGCCAAGGGAATGCGCGCCGAAGGAGGGCGCAACGGGGGAGAAAGCAGCGCCGGGGAAGAGAGGCGGAGGGGCGGGGGGAGCGCCTGCAGCAGCGGCGGCTTCGTCCGCCGCCTGCGCCATATCCGCGACGGTGGGGCCTGGCGGAGGCAATAGCACCGCCATGACGACCACGTCAGCTTCTAGTGACGTGGCAATGACCTGGAGGACGGTCTGCGGGAGATGGACTGACGCGCTTCCGGGACTCCCGGACGGAGAATCGACTCCTAAAAGTTGCCGAACCGGCCTGCGCGACACGCCGTCTCCGTCCAGCATGCCCGCGTCAGCGTCGTCCACGTCATCGTCCTCGCGCGTGACGAGGCTGAGAAAGTCCCCCTCCGCGGGACGAGGCTCCTCGTCGCCTTCCGCCGGCAGGTTGACGTGGCTCCAGCCGGCCAGAGGTCCTGGCACGCCGAGCGTGGCCTCGAGATTCGCGCCGATGTCGCCGGCTAAGATGCCGGCTCCGTACGACAGCAGCGACGCCATGAGCGACGTTGGACACGAGTGAATAAGATAGTCGCAGGCAAGGTAACGATGCGAAGCTCTCGCGAGCTCGCAATATTTGAATGAGGATGGCCGTCAACTATAGCGAGACATGACAGAGTATCTCCGAACTGAACCTCGACTACCCATCCTACAATCGCATCGCATAGCCAAGCACATGCTTTCTCCCAGAAGCATTATGACGACCCTGCAGCACGAAGGATGAAAATTTCTACACGCTAGAGTTCGTCTAATTGAATAAAAAACATTAAGTTACATAAATGTTATTTCATATTTGGGTGGCTCATGTTCAACTACAATTATCAGAACAGTTTCGTCTTAATTCGTGCGCAAATAGAAGTTCAGAACCTATGGTTACGGCTGTTTTTGCTGAAAAATGCTTAGAAATGCGGAAAAAAACAAAACAAAACAAAACAAAACAAAACAAAAAAAACAAGGTAAAGAAAAAAACAGTGAAATACCTGAATGTTATGGCATATTCGGGTGGCTCATTTTCAAACACCCTTATCAGAGAAATTTTGGGTTGGTGCTCAGTGAAAAAAATCGGCACCTTGTCAAAATGATATAATGTTTATATTGTGTAGGTTGTAGTGGGGTAAAGGGGTACAACCCAATTAGGGTTAGTAATTGTACTCAGTTCTATCTCAATTCAATCATTCTCGTTCAGTATTCTGACATGGTTTCAGAGCAGGTCCTGTTCCAGGACCGTTTTTTTTTTAGGGCCCACCGAATAGTTCCCTGCCCGTAGCGCGTTACACTGCTCGTAGCGCCCTACCCTGCCCGTCGCGCTGCCCCACCAGTCCCGCTGCCCTGCTGGCCGCGCGCCGCCCTGCTAACTGCCGCGCCGCCCTGCCCTGCCCGACGCGCCGCCCTGCTTGCCGCGCGCTGCCCGTCGCGCCGCCCTGCTGGCCGCGCGCTGCCCTGCCCTGTCCGCACGCCGCCCTGCTGGCCGCGCGCTGCCTTCCCCTGCCCGTCGCGCCGCCTTGCTGGCCGCGCGCTGCCCTGCCCTGCCCGTCGCGCCGCCCTGCTGGCCGCGCGCTGCCCTGCCCTGCCCGCGCGCCGCCCTGCTTGCCGCCGCGCCGCCCTGCCCTGCCCGCGCGCCGCCCTGCTGGCCGCCGCGCTGCCCTGCCCTGCCTACACGCCGCCCTGCCCTGGCCGCGCGCCGCCCTTCCCTGGCTGTGCGCCGCCCCGCCCTGCCCTGCGCGCTTCCCTAGTGCCCGTGCGCCGCCCTGCCCGTCGCGCCGTCCTGCAGCCTGCGCGCTGCCCTGCTGATCGCGCGCCAACCTTCTCTGCCCGCTATGGCTTCTTTCAGTGTTCTCACCTTCGATCCTGAGGGCCGTCCGATCCAGTTTGAGACCTGGCTAGACGACTTACAGCTGTACCTACAGAGCGAGTCTAGGGACGGCGTCTCCTTGTTTGACCACACGTCTGGGACCTCTCTCGCTCCTCCCGAGACAGCTGACGGTGCGACTCGCTCACAGTGGCTTACCCGTGATGCTACTGCTCGCCTCGCCGTTCGCAACCACCTGCCGTTAGCCGGACGCGCGCACTTTGGCCAGCACAAGACTGCTAAAGCACTGTTCGATGCTGTAGTCGCTCGTTACTCCTCCCCTGCCACTGCTGCTCTCGGCCGACTTATCCTGCCCTACCTTTTTCCCGAGCTGTCAGCCTTTCCCACAGTCGACGACCTCATCACCCACCTTCGCACTAGCGACACTCGCTACCGCGCCGCGCTTAAAACCGAGTTTCTAGACAAGACCCCCCCCCCCCCCCCCCCCCCCCCATGTACATCACTCTCTACTTCATCGTCACCCGCCTCCTTGACTCTCTTCGCGCAGTCAGGGACCTCTTTCTCGCCCTGGACCCCACGGACCTCACTGTCGACCTGCTCGAGAAGCACCTCCTTGCAGCTGAGACTAGCATAGTCGGTGTAGGTGCTGCTCGTGGCACTCCTCGCACTCCCTTCTTTGAGGGGTGTTCCCCCTCCCCCCTTGCCCCCTCTTTCGCCTCTGCTGCTGCTGTTGACTTCCTTCGTGCTGAGGAGGTCGGGGCTGCGTCTGCTTCTAGTGGGAGGCGCCGCAGTGGCAAGGGCAAGGGAGGCAAGAGTGGTGGGGGTGGCAGCGGTGGAGGCGGTGGTGGAGGCGGTGGAGGCGGTGGAGGCGGTGGAGGTGGCGGTGGTGGTGGTGGGAGTGGTGGTGGGAGTGGAGGCGTCGGTGGCGTCGGTGGTGGTAGCGGTGGGAGTGGTGGTGGCGGTGGTGGCGGCAGTGGGAGTGGTGGCGGCGGCATTGGTGGCGGCAGCAGTGGTGGCGGTCGGGGTGGAGCCATTCAGAGGGGAGGTTCTGGCGGTGGCCAGCGGCAGCAGCAGCAGCGTCCGCGCGAGACTTCCACGCCCCAGCAGCTTTGTGAGTGGTTTGCTCAGCGTGGGGCGTCTGGGGGTAGTGTTCGCTGCCAGTACGTCATTCGCATAGGTGACCGCGCTGGTCAGACATGCGGGAAGGTTGGTCACACACAGTATCGCTGCTTCTCCAGTCTTGACGACATCTGGCGCGCAGAGTTTGGCAACGAGGCTGAGCTCCCCCACTCGCTAGAGCTGCTTAGGAACGATGTGGATGTATTTGCGCTTGACTATGACGCTATCCTTGCTGGCATGTATGCTTTGACTGTTAGTGCTGAGGGTGACTGTTACCTGTGTGTGCCGCCCGACCCAGGTATAGAGGCTGCTGCTCTAGGTGCTAGTGAGTCTTCTCTCCCTGGTACTGCGCCTGCTGAGGTCTTGCACACCTTCACGCTTGACGCAGGTGCTTCCCGCTGCTTCTTTCACGACAGTACCACAGTCACACAACTCCCTGGACCTGTTGCAGTCTCTCTAGCTGACCCCTCAGAAGGGCCGGTTCTTGCAGGTTCCTCCACTGTTCTCCCGTGTCCGGCGGTTCCGTCTGGCTCACTGTCAAGTCTTCACCTCCCCTCGTTCTCTACGAACTTTGTGAGTACCGCTGCCCTCCAGGATGCGATGGTCAATACCACCACTCCTGGGGGTCAGCGTGTGTCGATCTGCACGTGTGCACGGACGGGCCGTCACCTGGCCACGTTCACCCGTCGGCCTGGGTCGAGCCTGTACACACTGACTACTGAGCCTACTCAGGTGGCTGCGTCTGGTCAGGCGTCCGCGTCAGGTCAGGTAGCCGCCCCCTGTTCGTGTTGTCTCCTCTCGCACCAGACTCTCCTCTGGCACCACCGCCTTGGTCACACCTCCCTGCCACGCCTCCGTGGCATGCACTCCCGTCTCCTTGTCTCTGGTCTTCCCAGGTCTCTGCCTCCCCTCCCGCCCTCGCCTGCCCCGCCCTGCCTTCCTTGCGTCGAGGGGCGGCAGCGCGCCGCTCCTCACTCCTCCTCGTTTCCCCCGACGATTGCTCCCCTGTAGACTCTCCACATGGACGTGTGGGGCCCAACCCGCGTTAGTGGACAGGGCCGCGAACGCTACTTTCTGCATGTTGTAGACGACTACACGCGTTACACCACGGTCTTCCCCTTGCGCAGCAAAGGGGGAGCTCCCTGATGTCTTGATCCCTTGGATCCGCGCTGTCCGTCTTTAGCTCCGCGAGCAGTTCAGCCAGGACCTTCCTGTCCTGCGTCTGCACTCTGACAGAGGTGGTGAGTTCTCCTCCAACCTCCTGTGGGACTTTTGTCGTGGGGAGGGCATCCTCCAGTCGTTCACGCTTCCGGCCTCCCCGCAGCAAAATGGGATTGCTGAGCGCCGCACTGGCTTAGTCATGGAGGTGGCTCGTACCTCCATGATCAATGCGGCTGCTCCCCATTTTCTGTGGCCGTTTGCGGTCCGGTACGCTGCGCATCAGCTCAACCTCTGGCCCCGTGTCTCCTTACTGGAGACCTCGCCTACACTGCGTTGGATGGGGAAGGTTGGCGATGCGCCGGTGTTCCGGGTCTGGGGCTGTCGTGCCTTTCTCCGCGATACCTCCGCGGACAAGCTCTCCTCCCGCGCCATTCCCTGTGTCTTCCTTGGCTTTCCCCCTGACGCGCCTGGCTGGCAGTTTTACCACCCCACCTCGCGCCGTGTCCTGCCCTCTCAGGACGTCACGTTTGACGAGTCGGTTCCCTTTTACCGTCTCTTCCCCTACCGCACTGCCCCTCTCCCCCCCCCGCCGCTCTTCCTCGCTCCAGGTCCCCCTCCGGTAGACCCCCTCCCCCCTCAGGGTCCTGCTCCTTCACGTGTGTCTCAGGTAGACCCACTCCCCTTGGCTGAGCCTGTCGAGGTCACTGTCGACTCTGGTGCTGCTTGGGGTGGTGCTGCTAGGGGTGCTGCGCCTGGGGGTGCTGAGCCTGCGGGTGCGGAGCCTGGAGGTGCTGAGCCCAAGCGTGCGGAGCCTGGGGTTGCTGGGCTTGAGAGTGCGGAGCCTGGGGGTCCTGAGTCTGAAGGTGCTGAGCCTGAAGGTGCGGAGCCTGGGGGTGCTGAGTTTGAGGGTGCGGAGCCTGGGGGAGCTGAGCCTAAGGGTGCGGAGCGTGGGGGTGCTGAGCCAGAGGGTACTGAGTCTGGGGGTGCTGAGCCTAGGGGTACTGCGTTTCCTGGAGGTCCTACAGGTGCCTCGCCATGGCAGTCTCGCCGGCGGGAGCCTCTCTCACCGCGGCAGCTGCGCGAGCGGTTTGCTCGGCGCACCCGCCTTCGGAGTGGCGCTGCTGGAGCTGGAGGCCCTGCCGCTGGAGGCACTGGAGGTGGAGGCGCTATAGCTATTAGTCATGGAGGTGCAGGAGGTACTGCTGGTGCTGGAGGCGCTGTGATGGAGCTGCTGGTCCTGGAGGTGCTCGTACTGGAGGTACTGGAGCTGCCGGAGCTGGTGGTGCTACTGGTGCTGGAGGTACTAGAGGTGCTAGAGCTGGAGGCGCTCGAGCTGGAGGCACTGGAGCTGGAGACGCTGGAGCTGGGGGCACTGGAGCTGGCGGTATTGGTGATGGAGGCACTGTGAAGC